TAACCACTTTGTAGAGCAGGAATTTGTTAAGGTCTTGCGAATCTTCGTGCAGTAGATTTGTTTTACTTTTGCATGCTCTTGCAAGAGGCAAGAGGCCTGTCGATTAGCTTGGTCCAATGCAATGTTGGATGTAACAATGCTTGATCATGATCTGTTTCTGCGACGCGCACAGATATATAATATTATACAATAGAATATATTTCTTTAAATGCATACCTGCCCCCAGTGAGCAGCACTTGCACATCGCTTGCTGCTTTTTTCTCAGTTGCTGGTTTGGAGGCGAAGTGAAGTCAAGTCCTTACCAAAGCACCTGAGCCGTAGTGCCGTAGCCAAGATGAACCAGGAAATATGAACCAGGTAGTGGAGTAGTCGTGGAGGCCTCGAGGAGTTGGCCAAATGCTTTCGGCAAAAGACATCAAGCAGCGATGACGTGACCACAGCATGATGCTAACCCAAACTGCAATCCTCAGCAAGTCTCAGCAGTATTCAGCAGTCACAAAAATCAAAGTCAAGATTCTGACGATTCTCTGGGACTGTTTGGCTCCCAGCCCATTGTCCAGATCTGGGTGTGGTGCACGGCTGGGAGAGGTACCTTGCCATGTTTTTTCTTCTTTTCAACATATATAATCGAAGGAAGTTTAGAAGTCAAACTTCCGACAATATGGACAGATGAAAAGCAGAGCAGGGAAGAGGCAGAGAGAAGAGAAAGATTAGAAGAAAGAAGAGTAGAAGAGAAAGAGTAAGAAGAAAGAAGATGTAGATGCGTGAAAAGGTAGGAAAGTCGCGAAACACTCTGTTTTCCAATGATTTGTGGCTCTGGAGGGTCGAAAAGTAGGCTCGCTAAAGCGGCGGGTGCGGAGCCAGCTGGCGAGAGGAGAGATGAAAAATTGCACGCCGTTGTGGCGCGAAGCACATTTCCAAGTCAAAATGTACAAAACACACCATTGTCGGACCACTTTTGGCACTTGAGATGTCGAAAAAGTGCACGCCGTTGTGGCGCGAAGCACCTTTTCAAGTCAAAATGTACAAAGCACACCAGCTCCGGACCACCTTCCAAGAGCCGTGTGACACTGAGGTGTTTTGTACATTTTGACTTCCAAATGTGCTTCACGCCACAACGGCGTGCTCTTTTTCCACATCTCAACTTCCAAGAGTCGTCCGACACTGAGGTGTTTTGTACATTTTGACTTCGAAATGTGCTTCACGCCACAACGGCGTGCACTTTTTCGACATCTCAACTGCCAAGATGTGGAAAAAGTGCACGCCGTTGTGGGGCGCGAAGCACATTTGGAAGTCAAAATGTTAAAAACACTAGGGGTTCGGACCACTTTTGGAGGCTCAGATGTCGCTTCGCTTCGCTTCGGGTCACTACACTACACTATACTCCACTACGCTACACTACAGTACATTACGCTATACTACATTCCACAACACTACAACTACAACTACAGAACTACACAACTACACTCCACTACACTCAAGTACGCTCCACTACACTAAATTACACTACACTACACCACATTACACTACACTCCACTACACTACACTACATTACACTACACTACCTTCCACTACACTTCACTACATTACACCCCACTACACTCCACTACACTCCACTACACTCCACTACACTACAACTACAACTACGACTACACAACTGCACTCCACTACACTCAAGTACGCTCCACTACACTAAATTACACTACACTACACCACATTACACTACACTCCACTACACTACACTACACTTCAGTATATTACACTACACTACATTACGCTGAATGACGCTGCACCACAGATAGACAGGTAGACAGATAGACAGATAGACAGATAGATAGATAGATAGGTAGATAGACAGATAGACAGGTAGACAGCTAGACAGATAGACAGTAGATAGATAGATAGGTAAATAGATAGATAGATAGGTAGATAGATTAGATAGATAGATAGATGGATGGATAGATGGCTAGATAGATTGATAGATAGATAGATAGGTAGATAGAAAGACAGATAGACAGGTAGACAGTTAGACAGATAGACAGATGAAAGAGAGAGAGAGAGATAGATAGATAGATAGATAGATAGATAGACACATAGAAAATAGATAGGTAGGTAGGTAGATAGATAGATAGATACATAGAAAATAGATAGGTAGGCAGGTAGATAGTCAGAGAAAGAGTGAGAGAGATCAAGCACCTTTCAGTCCATCAGTGGCTTCGCTCTGCCATCCCTGATTCACAACAACCAACCTCTCCTATAGGTTTCCTATTTTTGAAACTTCCGCCGCCGCCTTGTGCGGTACTACTGGTACTTAAATATTTTTATTTCACTTTGCCCCGTGCGTGTGTTACTATCTTATTCGTTTTCGCAACATTTGGACGATTTTGGCACGTGATTTGAACTGTGTCAGGCCACAGGGGCAGCTATTGCGATGGCGACAGAGACGGTCTGCGCCGGTGAGACCGAGTCGAACCGGAGGCCATAAGACTCCCAATTTGCTAGCAATCTGCCTTTGCAGCGGCTGCTTAGGTGGAAGATTCCCAAATTATAAGCCATCAGCCACCGGCCAATTCAATTTAGCCTTCAGATGTGATATATGGTAGCATTTGGCTCCAGGTTGCCTGCGGGCCTTTTTGTTTGATATGGAGCCAGCTTTGTCAATGTTTCTGGCAGTTGCAGCCATTCTGCCGTTTTTTGGTGTGTTTTCGGCTGTTGCGACCCCGGTTGCACTTGCTGGTCCAAAGGTATCAAGCGATGGGCAAATTGAAGTGCTTCTTAGCAGCATGACCCTAAAAGAGAAAGCAGGGCAGCTGAGCCTCTTTGCTCGGCCTTGGGGCTCTGACTTTAACGGTGAGAGTCCCCGTTGGAATACAACCCTTAAGTGGATCCGTGCTGGCCAAGTTGGTGGCCTTTTCAATGGCGAAAGGGTAAAGACCAACAGAGAATTGCAACGGATCGCAGTGGAAGAATCCCGACTTGGCATTCCTTTGATCTTTGGTGCGGACATTTGGCATGGCATGTGGACCATCTTCCCTGTGCCTCTGGGGGAGGCTGCCTCATGGGAACCAGAGTTGGCTTACCAAACAGCTCGGGCAGCTGCAAAAGAAGCGACTGCTTCGGGATTGATGTGGACGTTTTCCCCCATGGTTGACACTGCCAGAGATCAACGCTGGGGTCGCAACATCGAAGGTGCTGGCGAAGATCCTTTTCTTGGTGAAGCTTTTGCACGTGCAAGGGTGGAAGGATTTCAAGGGCCTGATTTGAAGTCACCGGATAGTTTGGCAGCTTGCTTGAAGCACTTTGCTGGATACGGAGGTGCTTTATCTGGACTTGACTACAGTGAATCAGACATGTCCGAGAGCACATTTCGGGATGTGTTTCTACCTCCTTTCATCGCTGGCATAAAAGCAGGTGCCCTTTCCATCATGAGCGCATTCCAAGCCCTTGGGGGTGTACCAGTCACAGGGAATCATTGGCTGCTAACGGAGGTGTTACGTGATGAGTTGGGCTTTCAAGGCTTTGTGGTGACCGACTACGAAGCTGATGGCCAGTTGGTGAATCATGGCTTTGCTGCTAATGGGTCAGATGCAGCCAAGATATCTTTGTCAGCTGGTGTGGACATGAGCATGCAAAGTGGCATTTTCCAAGAGCATTTGCCCCAGCTCGTGTCCGATGGCCTGCTGTCATTGGATAGGCTGGATGAGGCAGTGAGACGAATACTGCGTGCAAAGGCAGCCATGGGATTGTTTGACAATCCTTACAGATCTTTGGATCCAACTAAGAGCTGGCCAAATGCAACAATGATTCAAGAGCACGATGCCCTGGCGCGTCATGCTGCTCGGAAATCCTTGGTTCTGCTGAAGAATGATGGAGCGATATTGCCCCTCAAGAAGTGTTGCCAAAAGATCGGCGTGATTGGATGGTGGATCAACTCCAAGGATTTAGATGGAGTTGGCGTCGTATGGGGCAACAGATCGCACGGAGTCACCTTGATGGAAGGCCTACGAGGTGCCGTCCAAAATCAGTCTTTGCTGCGCGCCACCAAGGGTTCCGGTGCTGATGAAGAGATCAAAGGCGGTTTGGAGAAAGCTGCCGCAGTAGCCACCTGGGCAGATGTTGTGATCCTGGCATTGGGTGAGACTTCACTTCATTCCGGGGAGTCCAGGTCACGCACTGAGATCACAATCCCAGAAGTCCAACAAGATTTGGCCGAAGCTGTGGCAAAAGCAGTCCAAAAGGTTGGAAAGCCAATGATCATTCTGTTGAAGAATGGCAGAGCTTTGGAGCTTCGTGGAGCTGTGAAAGATGCTGGAGCAATCATGGTCACCTGGTTCCTGGGAAAACAAACTGGGCATGCCATTGCGGATGTGCTGTTTGGAGACTACAGCCCATCTGGCCGTTTGCCAATCAGTTTTCCAATGGCAAGTGGACAGCAGCCGTGGTACTACAACCACATGTCTTCAGGTCGCCCTTGCACGTGGGGTAGATCTTACACGAACTGTTTCTTGGACGTCCCTGATTTGGCGCTATACCCCTTTGGTCACGGCTTGACATATGCAAAGGTCAACTACACTACTCCCAGACTTAGTCATTTACGCCTGCCCTGGAATGGAAGCCTCTCAATAGCATGCAACGTTACGAATGTTGGACACCGAGTTGCAGAAGAGGTTGTTCAGCTTTATGTTCATGATCAAGTTGCGAGCCGCGTGAGGCCCGTGCGAGAGTTGAAGGGCTTCAAGAAAATTATCCTGGAACCTGGGGAGACACAGCAAGTTGATTTCACATTAGTTCGTCAAAATCTTCTTTTCGCTTCTGCAGCTCACTCAAGGCATAGCGAGACCTACACTGTGGAAGCAGGTCTCTTCACCATTTGGGTAGCGCCTTCCTCCACAGAAGGGCTGCCAGTATCGTTTGAGTTGCTAGGGCCAGATGGGCCCATGATTTGATTTTATATTAGCCTTAGCCTTACGTCTCACTAACGTCTCACTTTGAAATGTGTTTCGAAATGTTGTCAGCCAACCAGGCTGCATAGCACTCCCGCTTTGTGTCCACAAGTGGACACAGGTGTGGATGTAGTTGCACGATGTTGCACGATGGTGCACGATGTTGCACGATTTAAAGTTCATAGTCAGTGGTTGGAAGTTGATTTGCCAGACCTGAAGGCTGGTAAGTTGATGTTGATCCATGTTGATCCTGGATCTCATTCGCGAAGGAAAAGCGCGCTTAGTCAGACTCCACGCTGGTGGTGACCTGGCGATTTTTGAGGTGAAGGAGTATCTTCATCCAAGCCTCCTTTGCTGGAAGAAGAATTTGGAAAGGCTCAGCTTTCTGATGTCAGTTGCAAATCGCTTTCCAAATTCCCTGGTTCTTAGCAGATCGCATTGGTACCAGAAGGACGCAGCGCGGAACCCAGGAACCCTGGTGGGCTGCAAACTTGTTCTTTTGAAATGGTAAGGTTTTGAATCTTTGATTTGTTCTGGGCTCAGGTTTTCGAAGCAACTGCCGCTCTGCAACTGCAGTGCCGCCTGCGAGTTGTGATCGCCACAAACATTTTGGTTTGTTTCCATCATTTCTCATTTATGTGGTCAGCCTGCCATGCGTCTTTTGACAAAATGTTTCCTACAGAAACCCTGCAAATACATTTGCTTCAGCCAGCTTGTTGCAAAGTCTCAAGAGCGCACAGCCCCCAACAAATTGCACTGAATCTAATTACTGTAATTCTTGACGGTAGTAGTTCATGTGCGCCTGATAGCAGGAAATGCTGGTCGGAAACCCAGTCAGCTTTGTGACTGCAAGTGTTTACTGAGAGGTACAGTGCGCCGACGATCTGGAGCAAATGTTGGCGAGTTCCCAAGGTCATTTCAATGCAAGCTGTCCTTCGGGCATCGTTGCTGGTAACTTTCCGTTTAGCCCAGCGGCAGCGACATGCCAAAGTGCCCCTACACAGTCAACTTTCAACATGCAGAGTTGTTGGATATTGACCTAGCAGAATTCATCAGAATTCCACAAGTTCCTTGGAATTGCACATTGCGCAGTTGGGAAAGACAGGTACTACCATGAGCTTCACCTGCTCCAAGACCGAGATAGCCACCGCAAGCGCTCAGCAGTATCAGTGTAGGTTGGATCCACAATGTACTAACCACTTTGTAGAGCAGGAATTTGTTAAGGTCTTGCGAATCTTCGTGCAGTAGATTTGTTTTACTTTTGCATGCTCTTGCAAGAGGCAAGAGGCCTGTCGATTAGCTTGGTCCAATGCAATGTTGGATGTAACAATGCTTGATCATGATCTGTTTCTGCGACGCGCACAGATATATAATATTATACAATAGAATATATTTCTTTAAATGCATACCTGCCCCCAGTGAGCAGCACTTGCACATCGCTTGCTGCTTTTTTCTCAGTTGCTGGTTTGGAGGCGAAGTGAAGTCAAGTCCTTACCAAAGCACCTGAGCCGTAGTGCCGTAGCCAAGATGAACCAGGAAATATGAACCAGGTAGTGGAGTAGTCGTGGAGGCCTCGAGGAGTTGGCCAAATGCTTTCGGCAAAAGACATCAAGCAGCGATGACGTGACCACAGCATGATGCTAACCCAAACTGCAATCCTCAGCAAGTCTCAGCAGTATTCAGCAGTCACAAAAATCAAAATCAAGATTCTGACGATTCTCTGGGACTGTTTGGCTCCCAGCCCATTGTCCAGATCTGGGTGTGGTGCACGGCTGGGAGAGGTACCTTGCCAAGTTTTTCTTCTTTTCAACATATATAATACTTAAATATGTTTATTTCACTTTGCGCCGTGCGTGTGTTACTATCTTATTCGTTTTCGCAACATTTGGACGATTTTGGCACGTGATTTGAACTGTGTCAGGCCATGGGGGCAGCTATTGCGATGGCGACAGAGACGGTCTGCGCCGGTGAGACCGAGTCGAACCGGAGGCCATAAGACTCCCAATTTGCTGGCAATCTGCCTTTGCAGCGGCTGCTTAGGTGGAAGATTCCCACATGTATTTAAATTATGGTAATTATGTGTAGAATAAAGTAGTAAGTAGATATATATCACGTATGCACGTTCGTATGTCATATAGATATGTAGCAAGTGAATTGCTGCAATACTCAGGGTAGCACCAGGGGTTGGGAGGTGCAGCAAGCCAGTGAGAAGTCGCCCTCAGCTCTGCTGCCCAAGCTGCCATAAAGGTCGTGCTCAAGAGAATTTCAAGATTTAGGAACGCAGCACGTGACAAGCCGCCTACAAATATAGCCTATAGCTGGCACGCCCAAGACAGATATCCTATATATATATATATACAGAGGTGTGCACTAGGTGCCATTGGCTTAGCTACAGTTGGCATCCAGAACAAGTCATTGTACCTGAAGGCACCTTTTATGCTCAGATGTTTCCCTTTCCTTGGAGATTCCTTCCAATGCATAGCTCCACTAGTAGCGGATGTGGATGAAAATGGCCAGATGGCCCGACCTGCACTTCCTTGGTGGGACTCCCAGCTTGAGCATCACCAAAACATGCACCAGCTGCATCCAGAATTATCCAGAATCATCATGAATCATCCAGATACCTGCTCGTCAGTCATGCGTGCATACACCCACAACCAAACGCTGTTGCGATCAAGTGCCAGAGAAGGACAAGCATGGCTCATATCATCTCATACCACTGTCTTCTCCACCCTCAGGTTCACAAGCCCCGGCGTACTTCTGGCTATCATCGCTCTCTTGGCCTGCGTTGTCTTCCTGCTGGACGGCGCTTCAGTTAGCGATGCCAACAGACAAGGCCCAGCCCAGAACAAAAAGCGCAGTGGAGAAGGCAATGCAAATGATATTCACTGACACATTTGACATCATTTGACATCAATTGACATCAATTGACATCCATTGACATCGATTGACATCAACTGACACACACATTTGATGAATTTGTTGAATTGGTTTGCTTCTGTTATTGCCAGGGCTGCCAGTTCCTGAGCGGGACACCCAAAAGGCAGTGCTGGACTTCCATGCAGCGATGCTCAAGAACCTTGACTGGCGAATACAGTACCAACATCACGCTTTTATGACAATTGGTCCCTCCTGGTCATATCATTGATCTCTTCAGACTTTGTGACAAGTCTGGTGACATGTTGGTTGAGTTCGTTCCGTTCCGGTAGCAACTCTTGGATCACTAGAAGTGATGCCTGCTTCAGGAATATGTCTATGAGAGCCAATGCCTGAGCTACTGCTTATACAAATTGATTATTGTTGAATGCCATTGCCACATAGTGCCACTGCATATCACATCTATATGCATGCAGCATATCATATCAATATAATTTATAATTCAATATGCCAAGGTGCAAACTGCAGAGCAAGCCCTGCTAGACTTGCGTCAGGCACATTTGGATCTCAGGACAGCTGAGCCTCCTGCTGTGTGAAATGGCTAGCAAAATTGCTCCAACACTGCACAAGTTGAAGGGATTCTGCAACGTGTTATTTGCAGGAAAAAACATGACGAGGCGCGAAGAAACGGAGACCGCGTTTTGTACGAGTGTGGCATTAAGGGATATCACACACACACACACGTATATATATATACAATCATATATATATAATCACACACACACATATATATATGTATATATCAGATAGTTGATGATAGTTGATGATGATATTCAATTGTTTGAAGCATTTGGGCTTCGCCTTGGCAGCTCGAATCAGATTTCACATGCACTGAGCTTGGACGCCAGGCCACAGCGTTGCGCCGGGCCACTCGCGCTGTGGCACAACGTGGAGGCGGCCCGCCTCCAGCGCCAGAAGCATCTCCAGCAGCGCCTGAAGAGGTGCAGATTCGGTGCAGATTTAGCGGACATCAACACAGCATAACAACAGCATAACAGCTATATATAGCTCTTGTGGGGGTATTTGGCTGGATCCATTTGATATATTTGATGAGTAGTGTCTGAGCATGTGGAAGAACGCCTCTACGACTCTACGCTTGACATGACAGAAGGCTACAGAAGAAGCTCAACGATCCGAAGTCGCTGAAGACATTGATGGTGAGGATCAGGTTAGACGGCTCTTGAAACAAAAAGAAAACCAATGACCGATGAAGCAGTATTCACATTATTCACATTGCTTCTTTGCGAAGGATGGGGCTGAAGGGCCTGCATCAGAGGAGCAACAGAAGGCCGAAGAGGAGGAGCAAAGATGCTCAGCAAGCCATACCAAGCACGCAGGCATATGCAGGCCACTGTCACACACACACAAATTTGTACGCAAATATGTATACACGCATGCATGCCCCAATGATACATAATATGGGTGTGCCACAGGTGTTGAAATAACACCCCAAGATACACAAGTGCAGTATATGCATGTGTGCAGACCTGAGTTTACTTACGACAAAATCGGGAAGTAGGGTTTGAGCGCTATTCTGAGTGGATTCGGGCAGCCAAGGAAAGCTAATCGGATACAATGAGGCAATGGACCGACAAACATCCACGTTAAGGGAATTTGGCTGCCAGATATATGCTTTTATATAACCAGTGACAGATCAACTATCCAATGAATCCAGTGTTTGTTTGTGAAACATGTAGCCAATACTGCAGTACTTTGTGATGCTTTTGGGACGGTGGGTCCACAACATAGCTGACATCGTGTGTTCATAGTTTTTGTCATCTCTTGACCTCATGCTCTTTGGGTGTTTCCAATGAGCACGTGGAAACGATCATTGCTTAAAATTCACCTTGAAATTCACCCTTCGGCAGGTGACAAAGACCTTCAAGCGTTTCAGGCGATTGTCACGACATTTGTGCCTCAATTCCTCAAATCGAATTCCTTCTTTCCCCTTTGCATACGTTCTACTGTGATCCGCAGCGCTGTCCATGCTCGTGTACGGCTTAACATGGCTGCAGTAAGCTGCAGGCCTGATTTCAAATGTGGCAGCCGTGTGCCCTTGCTGCCGGACGATGAAGTTGTTGAATGCGACCGTTTGAGCGTTACCCCTTGCTGCAGTGCGTTTCCTGGCCAGCACATTGATGGAGTCAGGAAGAATCCTGTCTCGATCGCTGATTGGCAGAGCCTGAGAACTGTGAAGAGAGAAAGACCATCACTGAGGCTAGGCTGGTGTGGGCGGACTAAAGGGCACTGAATCTTGGCGGCAGGTGTGTTGTGAAGGGCCATGAACCTTGAAATATTATGAAATATTCATTTGCTTCTTCACTCCCAACGGTCAATGCTTCCGAATGCTTGCATTGAGATACTTCTGGATGGGATAGCCCCTACAGTACCAACTACGACTAGCGCGGGTTTCCCACGGTTTCCCCGGGTAGCCTTTGCGCCAAGGTAGGTGTGCCACTTGCATCGACTACCGAAAAGAGACCGGTGGTAGCCAAATCAATTCCAAGCGTTGAGCCAAGCTGGCTCAAGCGTTTCCATTTGAAGGTTCTCCAAAGACAAAGCTTTGGATTGCCTGACTTGCATTTGCCATTGGTTGTGCTGGTGAGCTTGGTGACCAAAAGTTCTTGGGATGCAGTTGCAGGTGGAACGGACTTCGTAGCTGCTGCTATCAAAGCAGTCTAATGGGTAGCAGAGAAACTGTGGATGAATATTCCATGGCACATCAGGTGCGCTGCCTTGCAGACGCTTTACACAGCTGGGCACAAAGTGGAGCTAGTGGTTGGGTTCTCAGATCTCTCAGATCCCTTAGACACAGTGGCAGTATGTGGCAGTGAAGGGATTGCAGGGATTGTAGGGATGCTTCGTGTTTGGCCATCCGGGTTCAGCCCAGGCCACAAAGCTGGGACCTGGATTCCCAGGCTTTCAGGCCCCACTTGTTGCAAACAAACCCCTCAACAGGTGCTTTGTCGTAATTTGGGAGATTCGAAGGCTTATCACACCTCCGTGAAAGTTGACGACCTAGAGTACTCCTTCAGCGGAGTGCAGATCTCAGTTTTTATCGTTTTTGGTCGTGTGATCAGTTCATGCTCGAGAGTCGCTGATGCATGCACCGAAGTCTGGCAAGGATGGGATTGTAGTCGGAAAAGGCTTGGCAAGCCACATGCGCCTTCCTGACAAACCACAGGCACCGCCCTATGTTCACGGACATGTTATGTCAGTGGAGGAGTGCTCAAAATATCTCACGGCTGTTCATGATGCATCCCCTGTTTGTCAGTGCAAGTTGCATGATTCCCTCATGCAAGGCATTGCAAGGCACTGCAAGGCATTGTCAGGCATTTGACATCATTCGAGCGTTTTGTGCATTCTCCGTCCTTGTCCAGGTGGCCTACATGGGCCTCACGAGTCTATCTGGTGATGCTATGAAGAAACACCTCACCGGATTCTTCAAGCGAGGTCAGTGCGATGCTACCTGTACTGTTGTTTGCCTGCTTTTCGGCATTATTTTGCTACATACTTAAAATTTTTCCTTATTTTGCTATTACTGATTGCTACCGTGTTGGCTTTATGTTTTGCCATTCAAAATCATTCAGAGCTGGTTCCAGCTCTGCCAGCAGCTATGTCAGCTATATGGGCTATATGTCAGACATTGGCTGAACAGAGAGTAAAAGGGCTAGACAAGCAGGTTCCTACGATCTTTTGCGGAAAAATTGCAATTCCTTCAGCGACTGCGCCCTGTACTTTCTTCTGGACTGCTCATTGCAGTGTTGTTGCATTTCTGTTGAAGCTTTGCCATTACAGTGGTAGCGTCCTTGCTTTTATTTGTTTCACGTAATTATTCGTGTGTCGAGGCACGTGACGTGGCATTCAGAGCCAGAACAAACTGCGTGAACATTTGCCATGCATTGGGAGTATGCCGATGTCACTAAAGTCGAGCATACACTGCCGTTTGACTTTGCTAGGACATGCGCCTGGATCCAACGTACAAAGGCTTCAGTCTCAAAACAAAACGTGACGGGACAAACTTGTGAGTTTGGACATTGGGTGGATCTTCTTACTTGATCTTACTTGTATAGTTCAGTTTAAGTTTAATAGTTTGGTTGTGTTGCAGGTTGCATCGGTTGCATTTGTTTGCATCGCGGCATCGCATTGCAGGCTTGGAGCAGCTGGGCCATATGGCGGATAGACAGGCAGGCATTGTCCAGGCCATCACTGAGGGAAACTACCGGCCAAATCCAAGTGCGGATACCTTCAGTGCTGGAGCCTGAGACAAAGATTGGATAAATCCGAATAAAGTGAGGCAGGATATACATGGATATACAAGGGATAAGTAGCTGCAAGCTGTCCTGCACAGATTCATGATTATTTAAGAATACTTTGGAATGCTTCAGGGCTTCTGCAGTCTTGAAGATCGCTTTGAATTTCGATGTGTTGGGATGCATTTGGCGACTGTTGGGAAGCAGACCCAGGTAGCAGTGACAATCTCTGCAATCAACAAGCTGAAGGATTCACCAAGCTTTGGCTTTTCCTGAGCGGAGCGCCAGTAGCTACAGCTGATAGAGCCTCCGTGGGCTGTTTTTACTGCTCACTGCAATTGCCGCACCTTCCCTCAAGAGAAAACTAAGGAATGTTCACAGAGGACATAGGACCCAACAAGATGACAAGTCCGGCCAACATGTTCCAATCGATTGGGCCCACCGGATACATTTCTTGACCCTTCTCACGGATGTCCTGGTACATATTTACTACTGTAGAAGGAACACCTAAACTTTTGGTTTTGAAACGGTTTTGAATGGTTTTAAAATGAGGAAAATGAATGAAAATGAGGTGGGTGCAGGCCAAAGCTTGAAGGCATGTGTTTGCCTTCCACAACTTTGAAGCTCCAGCTTCGTGCATCAATTGCCATCCTACAATGTTCTGCCATGTTCTGCCTGTGGCGGCAGCATGCCGCAGCGGTCTCCGCACTTTGAGGTACAGCGCTGAAGGCGCGTGCTCGCTTTGCAGATGCTTGCTTGGCGCATCCCACATAAGCTGAGAGCACCAGCATGGTCCAGAATGGCTCTACTTCAAACATCAACGACCACACTGCAACTTAAACTTTCTCACACTGCAAAACCTTCTCCCTGGAATTTCTATGAATTTCTGTGTCTGAGCACTTTTGGAATTTGATTTTGTTGTTCGGAATTTGATTTTGTTATTCGGACTCCAATTTGTGAACCACTTTACTTTCGCTTTGAGATATGCCCGTAGAAGTCTTCCTGCGGACTATGCTTAATTTGCCGGTTCACATACTTAGCTTGGGGGTCAGCAGCTGGATACTGCAGGGCAGGGTCCAGCTACAGGAAATCCAAGATCATCATGGCAAGAGAATTCACAAAACTCGCCGACCCAACCCTCGATGGCCCTAATTCAAGACTTGCAAGTAGTCCTCTTGCCCACCTTTGTTGAGAAAAGGCACTTACAGAAGTCTACACCTTGTTGCAGTCATTGTGCGACACATGCCGGTGAGACAGTTTTTTTCTTGTCAGTATGGCGACGCATGCATGGAATGTTTTGATGTCCGAGTAGCTCACCCACCGTCAACGTTGACTGGAGGCATGGCCCATTGAATTTAGTGAGGGGGTAGCAAAAGTCCAATGGCAGAAGGAGTGCCAGCAGCTTCCAGTTTCCTGGCAGATCCTGCAGGGTGCTGCACTGTTGGTGTATTTGGGTGTGATTAGGTGGATATGAGATTGCAAAGGTGGATGATTGGAGGATGGTGCCTGTGAACGGGAACCAGGGTTGCTGGGTTTTCAATTCCTTGGGCCGACCGTTTTTTTCTAAAGCAATAGATGATGCATCGACAATCGGTCGAACGAACAAGAAGCGCGAATATCATCGCGATAATCTGAGGGGAAAATAGAGAAGAGAGGAAGACAAATCACTTGTACCCAGCGACTAGACTAGAAGTGCTGTATGTTCTTGCATTGTTCCTTTAAAAAATATCCTGACCAATCTGACCACATGAACGCCAAGGTCAGCTGCCGCAATTCATGGAGAGTCGATACGACGTTTATGAGCGGAACACCTTTCTTGACTTTCCAGCGCCGAAGCCATTGCCACTGGAGAAAGCGCAAACTGATCCACCCCCTGGTTTGGAAGGAATCTATGGATCCAGAAAATTTGTTTCAGAAACTGAACATTCAGAAGACTCCACGGCTGCAGATGAAGCTGAAGAAGCTCCTCCACCATTGCCTCTGGAAGTTTTTGTGACACCAGATTGCTTTGAAGATGTGCAATGGCTCCCGGAGATGCAGCCCAAGCCCCTCTCTGCTGCAGCACCTGCATTCATTCCCTGCCATATTGCGAATGCTTTGCCAGGTGCCTTGCCAGGTGCCTTGCCAGGTACCTTGCCAGGTGCCTTGCCAGGGGCCGTGCCCGGGGCTCTGCCTGGAATGCCAGACCCTTCAGGCCAACCATCCAGTCCTGCCGAGCCACGGCCCAGAAAGCAGATCAGTTTGGAAGAGATGCTGGGCGGCCTTGACCACCTTGGCCCAGAGATGTCGTCACCACCTTTGGTGCCAATGCCCGTGCCCGGAGGGGCACCAAAATGGCTCCCTGCACCACCAGCAATGCCAGCACCGATGTTGGCAGAACCTCCATCACCGGAGGCGCTCGCACTGGCACGGTGAATGCACAGCTGTGATGAAATTTCTATGCACATCTATAGTAATCTATAGGCTGTAGGCATCTATAAGCATGTCGCAAATGTTCTTGTTTGTTACTGGAGAGACACTTGCTGGAGTCTTTGGCCAGGTGCCCACGGAGATTGCGGTGGCAGGCCCAAACCTTCCTGAAAGCGAGCTGCAGCTAGGGCAGCTGGTTTGCCAGGCGCTGTTTGGAATCTTTCTGATGTATAGACTGTATAGTGGAAGGCCTTTGCATGATTTACATTGATTTCCCTGCAGGTGCTGGCAAATGGCTGCTGGGATGCTGGGATCCCAGAGTCCTGATTTGTCGCACCAGCTCCCTAAAACTTCCCACTGCACCAGCATTTGAACCTTCCAGCACGGTCCTACACATCCCAGCAAGAGGTTGGAGGGTTACAAACCAGGTGCAAGATGAACAAGTTTGGCCAAGGTGCACTGGTCTGTAGACAGCCGCCAGCACAAGTCTCGGTTGTAAGCTGCAAGTATGTTCGACCTACGTTTGATGGCTGGTGAATTTAAACTTACCAAGACCCTCTCAGCCGCCAAGAATGTTCGCACGCTTAGGCTCTACAACACAACGGCCCAGTGCTCGGCTAGTGGCAACAGAGCATTGGAATGACAAAAGAATTCTTGGGCGAGCTGCAGGTTCGGTTAGTCTCCAGCAGCTTCACGTTTGGGCCCCAGTGGCAGGCTCAAGACTCAGGAGTAAACTAACCATGTTTTGAGAGGCTGGACCTACCCAATGTCGGCACTGTGCCATTCAAGGCGCAGCCTTGGCAGTTTCATATTCGTGAAACTTGCGGCTGTTGGCAATTTTGAGCAGATTGAGGGAAAAATAAGATCATATAAGATCTATTGCAAAGGTGGCATATCAGGGAACATTCAGCTACTTGACCTTCCTCTGGTCATGCTTCGCCCCAGCAGGCTTTCTTGCATCCAAAGGCGGGCTGCTCAGTTCGTGATTTTGGGTGTCCAAGCAACTGAATCTACAGATCTAGAGATGCTGCTGGCTCGGAGTGCCGCAGGTCGTGATCAACAACAAGCGAGGTGGAGGCTTCAAAAAAGCCAAGGGCAAAGGCAGCGTGGTACTGAAGTGTGAGGCCAGGTTACCTTCAGCAGTATTTGGATACGATAGGACAAAGTGGAAGAACATGCACGCGACACAGAAGGACAGCACGTTACTGTAAGTGATGCCAAGGGTACAGACGGGTCGGGCGCAGCCTATGCAAAACATAGTGGCTGATTATTTGACGAGGCTGAGGACGCCTCTGGATGCCCAAAGATTCATGTAGCATTCCGAGTCGGAAGGTGCCTCGGAAGACTTCTGTTCAGGGCTGCGAGTTTGGATGACCAGATGGCCATGGCAAGACTGACGCTGCTCATCTGCTCCCCAGTTCCACAGCTCTCTTGGGCTCTCCGTTGTGGCGTGGTTTCATGGTGCAGGGCGAAGGTGCCACCTCGGATCGTTGAGGAGCATGACTTCACAGAGTCGGTGTCTTATTGTTGATGTTGTTGTTGCCGTAGCTGCAGCACTGCTGTGGCCAGATGCTACAAGATCTACAAGCGGATGTCAAAACATGGTGAAAACATGTGAAAGCACGGATTTGATTCGAGATGCCTAGAACATCCTAGAACGTGGTAGACATGCCCGTGCAGGCAAAGCTGCTGCTGCCTTCCAGACCCTCAGCAGGAGTGGGACTTCAGGACCGCTGAGCACGGACCTACGGGCAAAATGTATGCAAAGCACGCCAAAAAAAGTGGAGGTAGTCGGATCAATTGAATCATATTATAATTGATATAATTTGACCCTGCTTGCGTGGAAGTCATATGTTTATTGATGTCTGTTGCATGTCTATGTCTGTTCAAAGATAGCAATATGACAAAAATTGACAAACAATAAACACTGGAAAAACTTAGGGTCTTCAGCCATAGCAAGTTAGAATCAAGAGTGAAGGTGTCGAACCAGCTTGTAGCAGGCTTCTGCAGCTTGGGGAGGTTTCCACTTGAGGAATTCAGCTCTGAAGCTGCGCACACACCAAGTTTCCAAAGGTGAAATTGGCAAAGACGAAGTTCCCAAAAAGGTGAAGTTCCCAAAAAGGTTTCTACCTGTAAGTATCTAAGATATCTAAGTATCTGTAAGTACGATTGATCATGAGTGAGCACGGGTGTAAATGGAACTGCAGGAGCTTAGTGGATGAAGCTACAGGAGCTCTGTTGGTGTCTATGCGAGTTGCTGGAGCCCAAGCTCCTATCCCTATCAATATCATTCAATATCCATATATCCTATGCAAACATTTCTTTTGCATTAAGGTGTTTCGGACCTTTTGGGGTAATGTGGTATAGGGCCCTCTGAGAAACCTGGCAAAAAGCCTTCGGTTCTCACGTCGGGAAGTCATGATGCCTTGTTGACTCAGGAAGTGGCCTCGGCCTCACATTGAGAAGCTTCGACTTTTTTGGAGCAGTCAGCAGTCTCACTGATTTCACCGCAATTGGCAGATGCGTTTATATTGATTATGTTTTTCTATGCTTTTATATGCTTTTCTATGTTTTTCTATGCTTTTATATGCCTTTATACGCTCTTATATGCTTTTATATGCCTTTATACGCTTTTATATGCTTTTATATGCCTTTATACGCTTTTATATGCTTTTATATGCCTTGATACGCTTTTATATGCTTTTAAATGCCTTTATATGCCTTGATACGCTTTTATATGCTTTTAAATGCCTTTATATGCCTTTATACGCTTTTATATGCTTTTATATGCTTTTATGTGCCTTTATACGCTTTTATATGCCTTTATACGCTTTTAGATGCTTTTATATGACTTTATACGCTTTTATATGCTTTTATATGCGTTTATATGCTTTTATATACTTTTATATGCTTTTATATGCCTTTATATGCTTTTATTTGCTTTTATATGCTTTGATATGCTTTTATATGCTTTTATATGATATTTGATATGCCTTTATACGCTTTTATATGCTTTTATATGCCTTTATACGCTTTTATATGCCTTTATACGCTTTTATATGCTTTTATATGCCTTTATACGCTTTTATATGCTTTTATATGCTTTTATATGCTTGTGCTTTTATATGCTTTTATTTGCTTTTATATGCCTTTATATGCTTTTATTTGCTTTTATATGCTTTGATATGCTTTTATATGCTTTTATATGCTTTTATATGCCTTTATACGCTCTTATACGCTTTTATATGCTTTTATATGCCTTTATACGCTTTCATATGCTTTTATATGCCTTTATACGCTTTTATATGCTTTTATATGCCTTTATACGCTTTTATATGCTTTTATATGCCTTTATACGCTTTTATATGCTTTTATATGCCTTTATACGCTTTTATATGCTTTTATATGCTTTTATATGCCTTTATACGCTTTTATATGCTTTTATATGCCTTTATACGCTTTTATATGCTTTTATATGCTTCTATAAACCTTTAGACGCTTTTCTATGCTTTTATATGTTTTTATATGCTTTTGTATACTTTTATTTACTTTTATATACTTTTATATACTTTTATATGCCTTTATATGCTTTTCTATGCTTTTCTACGCTTTTATATGCTTTTATATGCTTTTATAAACCTTTAGACGCTTTTCTATGCTTTTATATTTTTTTATATGCTTTTATATACTTTTATATACTTTTATATACTTTTACATACTTTTATATGCCTTTATATGCTTTTCTATGCTTTTCTACGCTTTTATATGCTTTTATATGCTTTGATATGCTTTATTTTATATGCTTTTATATGCCTTTATACGCTTTTATATGCTTCTATATGCTTATGCTTATATATATATATGTGTTTGTATGCTTATGCTTTTATATGCTTTTATATGCTTTTATATGCTTTTATATGCTTTTACATGCTTTTATATACTTTTATATGCCTTTATATGCTTTTATATGCTTTTATATGCTTTTATATACTTTTATATGCTTTTATATGCTTTTATATACTTTTATATGCCTTTATATGCTTTTATATGCTTTTATATGCCTTTATACGCTTTTATATGCTTTAATATGCCTTTATACGCTTTTATATGCTTTTATATGCTTTTATACGCTTTTATATGCTTTTATATGCCTTTATACGCTTTTATATGCTTTTATATGCCTTTATATGCTTTTATATGCTTTTATATGCTTTTATATGCTTTTATATGCTTTTATATGCCTTTATACGCTTTTATATGCTTTTATATACTTTTATATGCTTTTATATGCCTTTATATGCTTTTATTTGCTTTTATATGCTTTGATATGCTTTTATATGCTTTTATATGCTTTTATATGCCTTTATACGCTTTTCTATGCTTTTATATGCCTCTATACGCTTTTATATGCGTTTATGTGCCTTTATACGCTTTTATATGCTTTTATATGCCTTTATACTCTTTTATATGCTTTTATATGCTTTGATATGCTTTTATATGCCTTTATATGCTTTTCTATACTTTTATATACTTTTATATACTTTTATATACTTTTATATGCCTTTATATGCTTTTATATGCTTTTATATGCCTTTATACGCTTTTATATGCTTTTATATGCCTTGATACGCTTTTATATGCTTTTAAATGCCTTTATATGCCTTTATACGCTTTTATATGCTTTTATATGCTTTTATGTGCCTTTATACGCTTTTATATGCCTTTATACGCTTTTAGATGCTTTTATATGACTTTATACGCTTTTATATGCTTTTATATGCGTTTATATGCTTTTATATACTTTTATATGCTTTTATATGCCTTTATATGCTTTTATTTGCTTTTATATGCTTTGATATGCTTTTATATGCTTTTATATGATATTTGATATGCCTTTATACGCTTTTATATGCTTTTATATGCCTTTATACGCTTTTATATGCCTTTATACGCTTTTATATGCTTTTATATGCCTTTATACGCTTTTATATGCTTTTATATGCTTTTATATGCTTGTGCTTTTATATGCTTTTATTTGCTTTTGTATGCTTTTGTGTGCTTTTATATGCTTTTATATATATATATATGCTTTGATATGCTTTGATATGCTTTTATATGCCTTTATATGCTTTTATATGCTTTTATACGCTTTTATATGCTTTTATATGCCTTTATACGCTTTTATATACTTTTATATGCCTTTATACGCTTTTATATGCTTTTATATGCCTTTATACGCTTTTATATGCTTTTATATGCTTTTACATGCCTTTATACTATTTTCTATGCTTTTATATGCTTTTTGATGCTTTTATATACTTTTATATGCTTTTATATGCCTTTAAATGCTTTTATTTGCTTTTATATGCTTTGATATGCTTTTATATGCTTTTATATGCTTTTATATGCCTTTATACGCTCTTATATGCTTTTATATGCCTTTATACGCTTTTATATGCTTTTATATGCCTTTATACGCTTTTATATGCTTTTATATGCCTTTATACGCTTTTATATGATTTTATATGCCTTTATACGCTTTTATATGCTTTTATTTGCTTTTATATGCTTTGATATGCTTTGATATGCTTTTATATGCTTTGATATGCTTTTATATGCTTTTACTGTATATACTTTTGTATGCTTTTATATGCTTTTACGTGCTTTTATATGCCTTGATATGCTTTGATATGCTTGTGCTTTTATATGCTTTTATATGCTTTGATATGCTTTTATATGCCTTTATACGCTTTTATATGCTTTAATATGCCTTTGTACGCTTTTATATGATTTTATATGCCTTTATACGCTTTTATAGGCTTTTATATGCCTTTATAGGCTTTTATATACTTTTGTATGCCTTTATACGCTTTTATATGCTTTTCTATGCCTTTATACGCTTTTATATGCTTTGATATGCTTTTATATGCCTTTATATGCTTTTATATGCTTTTATATGCCTTTATACGCTTTTATATGCTTTTATATGCCTTTATACGCTTTTATATGCTTTTATATGCCTTTGTACGCTTTTCTATGCTTTTTGTATGCCTTTATACGCTTTTATATGCTTTTATATGCCTTTATACGCTTTTCTATGCTTTTATATGCCTCTATATGCTTTTATATGCGTTTATGTGCCTTTATACGCTTTTATATGCTTTTATATGCCTTTATACTCTTTTATATGCTTTTATATGCCTTTATACGCTTTTATATGCTTTTATATGCCTTTATACGCTTTTGTATGCTTTTATATGCCTTTACACGCTTTTATATGCTTTTATATGCTTATGCTTTTATATGCTTTTATATGCTTTCATATGCTTTTATATGCTTTTATATGCTTTTTTTCCCCACCTGCCAGGTGAGGGTTGTTAGATTTTATGTCAGTTGCCTCCTCCTCCTGCTCCTCCTCCTCCTCCTGCTCCTCCTCCTCCTCCTCCGCCTCCTCCTGCCTCGTCCTCCTCTCCTCCCCCTCCTCGTCCTCCTTGTCATCCTTGTCGTCCTTGTCGTCCTCGTCGTCCTCGTCGTCCTCGTCGTCCTCGTCGTCCTCGTCGTCCTTGCTCAACTGCGACCCGCGATCCACAGTGTTCTCTGCCGGACCTCAACCACGACCATCCACGCCCAGTGTTCCCTGCCGGACCTCAACCACGACCATCCACGCCCAATGTTCCCTGCCGGACCTCAACCACGACCATCCTCGCCCAGTGTTCCCTGCCGGACCTCAACCACGACCATCCACGCCCAGTGTTCCCTGCCGGACCTCAACCGCGAGTATCCACGCCAAGTGTTCCCTGCCGGACCTCATGTAGGAAGATATGGGACAAAATGAGAAGAAAGTTAGCAGAAGAATGTCAGAAGATATGCCAGATATGCCAGAAGATATGCCAGATAGAATGCCAGAAGATATGAGATAGAATGTCAGAATATATGAATATGCCAGAAGATATTCAGCCAGATAGAATATGCCAGAAGATATGCCAGATATGCCAGAAGCCATATGCCAGATAGATGCCATATGTCAGAAGAATGCCAGAAGATATGCCAGATAGAATGCCAGAATATATGTCAGATAGAATGCCAGATAGAATGCCAGAAGATATGCCAGAAGATATGCCAGATAGAATGCCAGATAGAATGCCAGATAGAATAACAGAAGATATGCCAGAAGATATGCCAGATAGAATGCCAGATAGAATGCCAGAAGATATGTCAGATAGAATGCCAGAAGATTTGCCAGTAAGAAAATGTATAAATGTCATGGTGGGGATCACACGAAGTAAAGTAATTTGCTTTTATACGCTTTTATATGCTTTTATATGCCTTTATACGCTTTTATATGCTTTTATATGCCTTTATACGCTTTTATATGTTTTTATATGCCTTTATACGCTTTTATATGCTTTTATATGCCTTTATACGCTTTTATATGCTTTTATATGCCTTTATACGCTTTTATATGCTTTTATATGCTTTTATATGCTTGTGCTTTTATATGCTTTTATTTGCTTTTGTATGCTTTTGTGTGCTTTTATATGCTTTTATATATATATATGCTTTGATATGCTTTGATATGCGTTTATATGCTTTTATATGCTTTTATATGCTTTTATACGCTTTTATATGCTTTTATATGCCTTTATACGCTTTTATATGCTTTTATATGCTTTTATATGCTTGTGCTTTTATATGCTTTTATATGCTTGTGCTTTTATATGCTTTTATTTGCTTTTGTATGCTTTTGTGTGCTTTTATATGCTTTTATATATATATATGCTTTGATATGCTTTGATATGCTTTTATATGCTTTTATATGCTTTTATATGCTTTTGTACGCTTTTATATGCTTTTATATGCCTTTATACGCTTTTATATGCTTTTATATGCCTTTATACGCTTTTATATGCTTTTATATGCCTTTATACGCTTTTATATGCTTTTATATGGCTTTATACGCTTTTATATGCTTTTATATGTCTTTATATACTTTTATACGCTTTTATATGCTTTTATATGCCTTTATACGCTTTTATATGCTTTTATATGCCTTTATACGCTTTTATATGTTTTTATATGCCTTTATACGCTTTTATATGCTTTTATATGCTTATGCTTTTATATGCTTTTATATGCTTTTATATGCTTTTATATGCCTTTATACGCTTTTATATGCTTTGATATGCTTTGATATGCTTTTATATGCTTTTGTATGCTTTTGTGTGCTTTTATATGCTTTATATATATATGCTTTGATATGCTTTGATATGCGTTTATATGCTTTTATATGTTTTTATACGCTTTTATATGCTTTTATATGCCTTTATACGCTTTTATATGCTTTTATATGCCTTTATACGCTTTTATATGCTTTTATATGCCTTTATACGCTTTTATATGCTTTTATATGCCTTTATACGCTTTTATATGCTTTTATATGTCTTTATATACTTTTATATGCTTTTATATGCTTTGATATGCTTTGATATGCTTTGATATGCTTGTGCTTTTATATGCTTTTATATGCGCTTATATGCTTTTATATGCTTTTATATGCTTTGATATGCTTTGATATGCTTGTGCTTTTATATGCTTTTATATGCTTTTATATGCTTTTATATGCTTTTATATGTTTTTATATTGATAAGATGCAGATGATTCAGATGGCTTATTGAAAATTGAGATGTTTTCAAATTTTTAACACCTGGGAGAGCCAGAGGAAAGATCAGTCCGCCTAATTCAGGGCAGGTCTTGTTGGCCCCGCACTGCCATTTGCCAGCAATGGAAGACTTGCCAGTCTCACAAGCAGGACTAATAGAGCAGTACTCACCTGCTTCCGCTTGAGAGTCCTTTGCTGTAGGTCGAAGGCTAAAACCTCAAGCTGTCTGATTTTGCGTAGATCAGAATGAAATGGTCTGGCCTAGCACACGGATCTGAAAGATTCTGAAAGTCATTCCAATTTCTTCATACCCTTTTGTTTGGTGAAGGTGTTTGGGAGTTTGCCAGCAGTTCCTTTCGCAAAAACATGCAAAAACAACCTTTATTCTTGAAAGAATTGTCGCACAGCATACCATATACATTCCATATACCATATCTGATGCAAAGCTTGGGGTTGAAGCTGCAGAGAGCTGGACAGCACATTGTACAGGTGTGCCCCCTGTGGTGATCACAGCGGTGAAAGTCAAGGCTCCCCCATGCTCCCCCAATGTCTGGCTGCTGGTAGGCTTAGCATGGCTTAGCTATCTTAGCTGCGCTTGTGGCTCAATTGCAGTTTACCTGGCAATTGCGACTCTGATGAAATCCTGAGATGTATGATTCCATGCTGTCATGGCTCACAGTGAAGACACTTCATTGAACCTCCAACAGTGTGATTCAGTCGCTCAAGCAGGAGGGAGCCCCGTACCCGGCTGCAAGTGCCGCTGTTTCGGTTTGCATGACAATTTTGTTTCGATTAGTTTTGAAATCGGATCACGCAAAAATCGCGGTTGAGCGTCACTTGGAGTATGCAGCCCAGAAGGATCTTGAAGCTTCAAACACGCTCTAGTGTTGCAGCGTTGCAACAACATCAGTCCGGCATGGCGAACGAGGCACGATATCCTTCCCTTCCTGCTACTTAGTCTTTCTTCCAATTTCAGGGCAAGAGCAAGCTTAGCACACTCATGTGTTCTGTTTTTTTTGTCTCAAGAATTTATCTAATGGTTGCACAGTTGCACTGTTCTTCTGGCTGTTTAGTGCGGGCTGTGTTGAGATTCATCATGTTACAATTGTTACAGTCTTACAAAAAATACAAAAACTTGTTACGCAAAGGACCTGCATGCTTCGTCCTGAGGAGTCTTTGGATCTGCCAGCATTGCTGGAGGCAGTGTGATTCAGTGATTCCGTTCAAACATGTTTGGCACTATGTACCGTTTCTAACACTTTTGCAGGAGATGGTGAAGCGCAATCGCCATGTCAGATCCTTAGGTACTTTAATGTACTTTATTGATATTTGTTGATCTTTCTTATAGGATGAGCTATGATATGATGATCTGATATTTGGAGCAGTGGTTATTGCAGACATGTTGTGCCAGGTCGCAGGTATGGCATTGGTGCGCTGGGAACCCCAGAGCTTCGTTGGAGTGTAATATGTGTTTTTTTTCAGCAACCTACGGATTGGCACTTCTGTGTTTCAAACAGGGTGAATGCTGTTCCGTCCAGTCCTGGAAGATAAACAATGCTTGCAGGCTGCTTGCAGGCGGAGGGAGTGAGCAAAACCATGGCATGTTGCATTTCCGCAGTTCTGCTTGCTCTTAGCAGACCACACAACGTAGATTCTGCTCACGTTACAGCTCGTGGGTGCAATGAAGCAAGCCCCAATCTTAGATGCGTTCACAACCGGATGGTCTAACTAGTCTAAGTAATGTCTAAATAATGTCTAAGTAATGTCTAGTATGTTTAGTGAGTCTAGTCCTTTGTGTTTAGTTTTGGAGCATAGCAGCATAACCATCCCACGCATCCCAGGTTCTTGCTGTGGGCCTTGCGCTTCTGCCAGCGCTCTCACTGAAGGCCTGCGACATGCTGTGAATCTGGATGGACCTACTAGACTCCCTAGACTGCAATGTCGGTTGATGTCGATTTGCTACACAACTTGCGACAAATCAATGACCGGAGTCTGGAGGTGCCTTCCAGCCTTTTAGATGAAGGTGAAGGTGAATGACTCTTGGATTAATCTTGGATTGGAATTGATATCACGACCTTATATCACTTTATCAATCTGGGTCAATTTTGAGTAGTTTATTTCCAAGGCACATACATTGCTGCAGTAGCATGTCCATTTCAGATCTGGGACCTAAGGCTTTTCTCATTCATGCGGCAAGGGCTACATCCCGAAATTTGATCATGATACTCGAAGGGGCGACTCAGATGTGCAGTGCTGCCAGCCGACATGTGAGCTGTACACGTGCTCGGGCAATTTCGTACGCAGCTCAGCAAGGGGGGGTAGTTTATTGTGAAAGAACGAAGCATCCCTTGCAGTTCTGACTGCACCTGGCATGTTGTCACATGCAGGTAGCCAATGAAGCCTATAAGGGCAACATTGGTCGAACCAACGAGCAGTGCTGTGACCAGACCTGCAGTGCGGTGAAATGCCCAGAAGGCAAAAAGGCCTGCACACTATGCTTTACATTGTCTGGCATTTCGTAGAACCAACATCACATACCAGGACATACCACACAAGGGCCTAGTGGCTTAGTGAAGTAGTGATAAATAGCCCTGGTTGCAACTGCGGTCTTGAAACGGAAAAAAAGTTTAGTACCAAGCAAGGTTACGGTTGTTGATGGTTGTTGTTCTGCATATTTGCTTGGATAGTCTATTTCATGATCGAATTTCTAGATTGTGTATTGTATTTGGGTTCGAAACGCGATAGTTCAGCTTAAGCTAGAACTCAACAGCCAAAAACACACCTCACTGGCTTGAGTGCAGCCTGAGAATATTTGGGGTACCCAGGGGTACTCTTTATGTGCTTGGAGGTGCCAGCAGATCTCAAGAAGTCTCCCGGAAAGACAGAGAAGGACAGCGATGTAGGGAAGATTGGTTGGCTCAGCCTAGCGACCGGTGTTGCAATGAAGAGTGCCAGAAGATGATTTTTCATTGGCACCATGCAGTGATGAAGCAGAGCCAACTTCTGAGTCAGGAATGCTGCAAAGACACCTGCAACGACTTTCTGTGCAAGCCTTTTACCGTTCCCATTGGGCCACCTTGACTTGTTTGATCGTTTGCCAATGTTTCATTTTGACTAGAATGCAGGCGCCAGGGCACAAATCCTTTGAAGTGACATGCTTTCCATTGCTGGGATGTAGCATGCAGAAAACCAACGCAATGTGCCAGGGCAAATCAGCATGAAGTCTACCCAGATGGAGAAGCACAGAGCTTTTGCTGCGAGCCAACCTGTCAAGCTTACACATGCGACGTCGCCAAGAACCTTACTTTGGACCCGGTTCCTTGACGTGCCGGGTTGGACTTTGGACATCTTTGGACCTTTGGATTCAGCTGGTAGAATAGCAAGCAGACATAAGCAGAGAATAATTGAAGAATTTGAAGAGACATCGGTGCAATATCTTGGGATGTCTATGGCTTGAGACCGTGGCAGACTCTTGACAGACATTTGTAACATCTTAGACTGAGAGCCTACTGTAACATTTTGACTTGTGGGTCAGCCTTTCTGGAATCATGTGGGCGGATACACCCGCACACGTGCTAGTATACGCATGTTTCCACTGGCTAAGGCCAAAGCAACGCTCACAAAAGTCAGCGATGAGACGTGTTGTACACCGACCTGCGGCAGCGTAACCTGCCCTGCTGGCTTTAAGAAGCTTGGCTTGTCGAATCGCTGGATGCCAAAGGAATCGGCAAACCTTCAGTCTCTCAATCATTCTTAATCTCCTTGCGGGTTATCCTTTCTCAAAGCTTCAGTATCTTGACTTGGCACACTTGGATGGAGGCTGCTGACAGATATTGACAGATTGCATTGATCATTGATCGTGTTGATCAGGATACATCCTTCGAAGGTCAACATGGATGCCAAGAAAACTGCTACTCGGCTGACAGGCTCCAAAGGTCGCAAACATGGAAAATGCGAAGAAAAGCGCCAATCATTGTCAGATTTTTCAAGTACCCCCAGCAATGCCACACCGGACCTTGACGGCCCCAGGACTGCTGTGAGCCTTTGTGCAGCTCGCATACCTGCAGTGCTGGTTGGGTTGCCGATGTCACCAAGGAGCCGGCGCCATCAAGGGTGGAAAAAAACAAACAGCCAAACATGCGTAAACATGACACACACGCACACGCACACAATGTAGAATACTACCCTAGATGCTGCGGACGATGCTGTTGACTCAAAGAATGCACGTTTGATCTAAACCTTTCATCAGGTTGCAGCTGTCGGAAATACGGATGAGGCCTGACTCTTGGGGTTTCCTCGTGCAGTTTTGTTCAGCATGAAGCTGCATGAAGCTGCATGAAGCTGCATGAGAATACATGAGAACATTCATTGAAAATTCGCAACATTGCCGCCGATTTGATCTTTTTGGCCTTGTTTGAGCAGGTTTGCTGCCAAAGGACGTGTGAAGTCTTCCAATGTTCCTCTGGTTGGGCGAAGAACTCTGTAGCAGCCAAGAACATTGGCCTCCTGGATGAATAGCTTGAGATGGCTGAATAGCTAGAAAGGGCATGAAAGGGCATCGTTTTGTTGAATCATTGAATGATTGGAATCTCGGAAGGATATTGGATTTCTCTGCATTTACAGCTGCTTGTGGTAGCAATATGTAGCAATCTTGCAACATTGTATAACACTGTCGTAAGTGGCATCATTGGTTACTGATGTTACTGAGGTGTTGATGATCCGACCTGCTGTTTGCCAGAGTGTAGCCAGTATCAGCCAAAATGTGAGGGAGACTATGCGCCGAACCCTGATGCCAACAAGACAGTTGGGCAGACGGCAGATGTGTGCTGTAAGAAGACTTGCTCCCTCTATGCGTGCTCGGATGGCAGCATCAACATTCCAGATGCCAAGAGTTCCTTGGAGGCTTCAAAGGTCTTCAAAGATCCTGAAGATATTTTCAACTTGTTCTAGGAGTCGGGGAGTTCTACGGATTGATAGGGTCCTGAGGACTCTTAAGGTGTTTTGATCATTGTATTTGATCGAAGCGGAGCAGACTCTAAGGCGTGGTGGCTTCCACAAATGGTGAGTGCTGCGAAGACGCGCGTTGCCCCACATTCCGCAAGAAGACTGAAGTCAAGGATGGTTGCAACCATCTGGGCAAGGACTCATTTGCATTCTGTTTGTTCAGCTCAGGGTTTCGATCCTGCTTGGAATTGCTGTGGGACACAACTGCATGCTTGCGCACCCCCAAATGCACACAGAGAGATTAACACCATCGAATACCACCGACACACAGACGTGTGATCTATATCTATCTATCTATCTATCTATCTATCTATCTATATATATCTATATATATCTATATATATCTATGTCTATGTCTATATCTATATCTATATCTATATCTATATCTATATCTATATCTATCTCATACGTATAGATGCCGCATGATACACTCGCATATCAACACTGCGAGAGAGGGGCACAAGAAATGAGCAAGTGCATGGCTCGTCGCAAAATATAATATGGCTCCCCATGGGCACAAATCATGCCACATTTCAGGATGAGTGTGAGAACAACTACATGAAGCTGCATCTGGGACTGGGTTGAAGAGGTTGTGCTCTGCAGTTGGTACTCTTGATGGTTAGATTGAGCTCATCAGACCTCTCTTTTGCCCCAAATACTTATATAGGTGTTTTTCAGAGCTAATGCCATTGCATCTTTTGCAATGACTTTCTGTTACTAAGGAAGAACACTGCAACCAATAAGACTGACAGCTTGGCATGTAAGTGGGCGGACTTCGGCTTTTGCCAAGTCAATGCGCTTGAGCCAGCCAATTGTGCGGAGTAGGGCTGGCCCCAAAACCTTCGGAGCCCACAACTTGTGCTGGATTGCATGGATCCATACGGATGCTACATACATACTTCATTTCACGAACAGAATGCTCACAAGTGGTTACCGTCACTACCACAGACGTCGTCCAGCAAGCCGTGTGGGCACTGTGCTGCAAGCGAGTTTCACAAGAAGGAGCTTCATGCATCTCCAAGACAGCGGAGAACCAAAGAGCGAGATTTGATGATGCCGAGTCAATATGGCAGGCAAGTGATGCAGACACACGGCAAACAAAAACATGTCGCAACTTGTGACATTTTGATACATTTTGTGGCTTCGTATTTGAGGACATGAGGGTGGTGAGGCTGGCGCCGAGGACAGGGTCCCCCATTCCACCCTTTTCACAGTTGGTGACCCAAGAGATAAGCAAACAGCAAAGAGATGCAAAGAGATGCAAAGAGTTATACACTTATTATCTTGACGTGGATGGCGGCCACTCGTAGCGCCACCCATTTGAGTGTGTATCAAATGAACTTGATACCGGCAGGTCATAATAAGACCCGTCAAGAACTGAAAAACAGTTAGCTGTCAATAAAAAGATCAAAGGATTCTGCAGGATGAATCTCAATGGATATTATATCTGTGACAAACGCCAACAGGTTACCTCAGAGGCTTATATCTGAGGGCTAACGATGGCTTGCGGCATGCGATCATCCGTGGAACCGACAGGCCATCCCAACAGCGGCTGGCATGGAGCTCCCCAGCGAGGAAACCGTGGCGGCACTGTGCGGTCCCTGGTGGTACCGTTGATCCGTGTTTGCCCCAGCTACTCACGATGCAGCCCTTGCCGCTTTTACACCGAGAAAAGAGCATTGCATATGTTTACCCCATAAAACATTATCAAAACAAGATATAATAACATCAAAAATAGATATCAGATATCATATTGTATTTCTTGCTGCGCAGGAGCAGTAAGAATAAGGATGATTTGGTCAAGCCAAAGCAGGTCCCACGAACAATGCCAGAAGTGAACAGGGAAGATGTTGACTGTGCATTTTGGCCTGGAGGATCTCTTACATGCCCACATTAGAAGAGCAGCACGGACAGGTGCTTTATAAGGTTTTGGGATTTTTAGGCATTTTCAATCATGGTTTATTAATCAATTATGGTACTTTATAATTATCTAGAGCCCGATGGATTGAGTATTTAGCTCTGCTGAGCTCCTTAAGAAGGCGTTGGAGAGAGAAGGATTTAGCATACTTAGTACCATTGTGTATCATTTCATTGTAATTCCTTTTATTCAATTTATCCCATCATGTTGGCAAAGCGAAGTTTCAGCTGCCATGGCCTCCGCTGATCGCGATCCCTTGCCGGCATTGCACGAGCTCCAGCAGCTTCTTCAAGCGCAGCTGGAGGTGGGACCGCTGAAACAGCACCAATTGGGGCAACGGCCCATCCTGACGCATGGGAATTGATGTATCCATGAGCTGATAAAGAATGATGCCGATTATTTGGTGGAATATAATATAATATAATATATAGATATATATATATATATTGATGGGAACCATGTCTGTCACTGTTAGTTCATGTCGGGTCTTTGCAACAGTATTTCTGGCAGCCTTACAGAGGCTGTTTGCCTGTTCAGAGTGCGGGCGAGGTCCCCTCTTCATGGTTTTGTGATGTTGTTTCTTTGGTTTGGCGTCCTGGAGACCTGTAAATCATTTGATGTCATTTGTATTCCTGGTGCTCCTACAGTAGAATTTCCATGTGGCATTGATGAGGCATCAAAAGCAGAAGCAAACGGCTTGGCCCGCTGCTGTGCTCATGCAGAGCGCCTGTTGGAGTCCTGTCCTCAGTTTCCTGCCAAGGTATATAACCTCCATCACATCCGACATCATGCAATCAGTGCGCTTTTCAAGCAGCAGAAATGCCAAGAAGAACGTGAAGAACGTGTCATTGCCTGCTCTTGTTGTATGCCACCTAGCCAGCCCGAAAGCAAGGAAGACACGACCAGCACGTAGTGCCAGCGAAGATGTGGGTCAGGACATGCTTCAGACCGAAAGATTCAGCGCATTGATGACATTGCCATGCATTGTCATTAATTATCATCCATTAAATTAAATTATCATCCATTATAATATATGATAATTTAATTGTATAATTCCTAATTAATCTCGTCCATTTCATCATTTCCACCCGTCATTCTAACTTCACCACTTTTTGAGCCTCTTTGATGGGTCTTCGGATGACTTTGGGCTGGAGGATTTGGACTTTGAGAAATGGTGGCGGTGGCGTCAGCTGCGTTCCAAGTGGGCTCAGGTAAAGAGCCAGGAGCCGTTGCTTCGGGAGGCCGAAAGAAATCCCCAAATGATGGTTGCAACATGATGCAACTGGAAACTAAGTCAGCTCAGTGATAGAAACTGAAGCCAGTGATTCCCCGTTTAGTTTTAATTTCAAGTTTGAGCTTCATGAAATGTTGAAGCCTGAATCGGAAGAGATCGGGCCATAAATGCAGTGCTTGAGACCATGAAACCAAAAGACTTCCTTCGCAAGGATAGGCTTGCTAAATGGAAAATGTTGCTCCAACAGGGACATACAAGAGCAGTACCCTCGTGCTGTCTTTGAGACAGACCAAATGAAGGAACATGCCCTTTGAGGCAGACCAAAGAAAGGAAAATTAAGAAATGAAGAACAAGTGCTGCCTCATAGCACAGCTAAAGAAATGAAACCATACATAAGAATAAACAAACTTGTGCATGCAGGTCAGCCCTTTTGATACTTTTTGATCCCATGTGGTGCGAATGTGGCGACGCTTGAGTTGCACAGAAAACCTTGACAGACTTAGTGACTTAGGTCATTGGCGTAACACATGCAGCAAACTGTGCATGTTGCAACATGTCACCACTAGTGCAGTGCTCGAAGAAGGTTTAAAAGGTTTGAAGCTAAGCAGTTTGACTTGTTTACATTTTACAGCATCAGGCAGCCCAAAAAGCCCGGAGTACCTGGAAGCAGCAGCTACTGGAGTCGAGTTCAAGGACGGGGGCTAGAATCATGGGAACAAAGTCAAGGCATGACACCTGGCACATCCTAATAAGAACCGCATAGAATGGATACTTCCTGAAACGAGGTACTATATACGCTGTGTGTATGCGCATTGCATCAATACAAGATTGAAGGAACCAAAGCATCTCAAAGTGCCAGGACCAGCTCACAGGAAACAGCGGGGCAGTTCCTGAAGGGGTGCATGCTGGCCAGACTCTGCAGCCTTGCAGTGGAGGAGGCACACATTTACGGGACCGTTTTTGTACATATTTTTTGAGGATCCGTGGTGAAAGGGCACCCTGGGCACCCTGCTGCTGTTCCAAGTCCTGAGTTTCCATCCGAGGTTTTGCCCGCGCCTGAGAAGTTCTTCATCGCAAAAGGGCTGTGGCCAGACACAGGTGATGAGCAAATCCTGGAGTTTTGCCGGCTTTTTCTATACATTGCACTTGAGAGGTGGTTAGTGCGGCTACGCCAGGAGGCGGCCAAAGAAGTCCCTCCTGCTGCCATGGCAATCATGGCAATAAAAGCCATCAAGCAACGCGTCACAAAGAGAGAGGAACGAGACTCCCCTGGGGCCCCTTCCGTAAGGAGAGAGGAACGCGAGTTGCATCCCTTGTCGCTCTTGCAACTGCCTGGTGGGGAGCCTGCAGTTCGAGCCATTCTTCAAGCAAAGTACAAGGCACAGCAAATGGAGGTGGAAACTGAGATCATGCGCATTTGCTGCGGGCCCTTAGAGGGCGGTGCGACAGAGTCAAGCTTGTTGGATGAGGTGGGACAAGGCGAAACAGAAAGCAAGATGAAACGTAAAAAAAGACCTTTGGTAAAAACATGTGAATTTGCAACGTAAGTGATCTGATCATGTTTTACCATACTTTCATGTAAGCCATCCCCAAAAAAACTGACAAGTATATTAGGATATATTGGGGAAGTAGTGCTGATGAATATGCTTTGTCTCAAGTTCAACACTCGGAACTACTTCGGGAATTGTGCTTCTCCACAGAGTTGGGTACTCCGGATAGGTCAGCGGCATCTTGCGTGATGAAAGCGCCTGTGGCAAGGCCTGAAAATGGCAAGCCTTGAATGCGTGCCACATGAATATCATTTAATTGCGAGATGGCGTTGGAGAGAACGATGGAGAGACAGAGAGGGAGACACACACACATAATAAATAAATATATTTCCTGGACCTTCCAAAGTACAGAAAATTATGTACGATTGGGATTTCTGCACTTTTGGGCCGATTGAAACGTTTAATCTTAAATGTAAACGGTTTCAACAAAAAGTGAACTCTTTACAGCAGTTCTGACTGCCACCTTAGATGTGGCACGGGTGGTTAAAATATCTTGCCGCAATGGGTCCCTCACAATTCACCGATTGGAATTGCTGGTGATAATGTTCATGCTTTCCTAAATTTGCAGAGTCTGTGTTGGTGATTGGAGCCCCCAAAGATTCAAAGCCTCAAACATGCAGGAATACTAAGCTATATTTGAAAATAGTTAGTTTGAAGCATGCTTAGTTTGCAGAAATATCAGTTTTCGTTCCAACAAGCTGCGGTTTGCTGCGATTTGTCAGATGCATGAACGGCAGCAGTAATTGAGAAATCCCGATTTGCGTACTTTTGCGGATATTTGCGTATTTTTGCGGGAAATTTGCGTACTTTTTGCGGGAAAACTGTCGACATTTTTGTTGAATTCAGAGCAGTTTTGGAATTTCCTGCGGGCATTTCTTGCAAAAAAACATGGGCGTTCTGTTTTTTCACAAATTCAGAAAAAAAACAGTCTGTTTCAACGTCTATAGTCTATAGCGGTCTGGTGTCCCATCCAGCAAAGATTGCTTTTAGCGTCGCACCAAAGCCTTCTTTGAGCGCTTTAGTTGTTTTGTCATATTCTTCACCAATCTTCACCAACCGGTAGATTTGTTTTTCTTGCCGTCTGCTAAGCAGGTCCACTTTGTTTTGTCAACATGCAGAAACTCCCATCTAGCCTGCCAAGATACGTCAAGTCAGCTTCATTCTTGCAATTTCATGTTGTTCTAGTGTGTTTCTGAACGATTGGTCCAATTTGAACTATTTGCGGCATTTGCGTTTTTTTGCGGTCATTTGCGGTAAAGCCCAAAAGTACAGAAATTATTGAACGTTGGAAGGTCTAGGTTATATATATAGTTAGAGTTAAATAAAAATAAAATAAATAACAATGCATATAAATGAATATAACTAACTAACTAACTAAATAAATAAATATAAATAAATAAATATAAATAAATAAATATAAATAAATAAATATAAACAAATGGAGAGAGAGAGAGATAAACAAATATAAACAAATATAAATATCATGATATATATATATATATATGTATGTATTGCACGTATATTCGAGCGTGTAAATAGACAGCAATGTTAGGCATCACTAGGTGCAAGTAGATTGGCTGGCATTGCCCAAAAGGCTTTCTCACCAGTATGTGCCGCGCTGCTGCAGGCACACCCGGAGAATTTTCGGAGAGCTCTAGAGTTGCTTCGCTTGGCACAGCACCTTTGCTCCGAACGTCGGTTGATGCTGAGCTATTGGCCGTTTGCGGACTTGACCTCGTCAGATCCCGGCGGTGAGGTGAAGAAACAAGTGCAGCTCATGTGCAGCTCTTTCGCTGCGTGCACCCCCTGTGCACAGAACATTGACACCTCAGGTAGCCAATGGCTTTCAGCCGGTAGCTCAAAGATGTTGCAAGCAAAAAGACTGCATTCGCATGGGTGCCGGCAACATTGCTAGGATCCGTTCATGCAAATCATAATTATGCTGCTCTTTGAGGGACACTCAAAACAGTTTCCGGTAGGCCGATTGTTCTTCAGAATTGTTCAGATTCCAAGTTCTCGCAGTGCCATTGGAGCCAAATTGCTGGATGCACATTATCAGACTACACCACACTACCTTCAGACTATATTGATTATTGATCTACACTTGAAAAAAATGCTGTATGATGCTGTGTTCCTGCCATGGCCTTCAGCAAGCGGCTGTCCCAAGAGCAAGACCGACGGCCTCAGACCTCTCAGGAAGAGCTCAAGGAGCAGGATCCTGCCAAAATGAACTGAGGGTGAATGGAAATGAATGGAAGAAGCCAGTGAATTGATGCGATTCTCTTCAAAACTTGGCAATTCTGGGTGTTACTGTAATCATTTGTGTCATCTCCTGGCAGTACCACTTGATGCCACCCTTTTCGTTGCAGAACACGAACTGCTGCCAGGAACCCCAAGACACTGAGACGTTGACTTTTCCAGCAGAGCAGCGCTCGCGATGGCTGCCAACGGAGGCAGAGAAGATATTGACCTCAAGCAGCAGCTGTGTCAGTCAAAGTCTTTATGAATTTCAATCACCTAACAAGACCTAACAAATATAACACATCCGACCGTTCCAGACTTTCAGCCTTGCTGCCTGCACAGCTCAGGAGATCTCATCCAAGCAGTGCCAAGCATGCAGCTTGCGGTGTGCCGATTCCACCAGAAGCTCTTTTTTCTTGGAACCAAGCGGACTTCGAAATCTACGTGGCGACCTGGCGTGGTTTGTGCTCTTTTATGCCTGTCATGACCATCCTCCCGACAGCTATACCAGGATAATGTGTAAGCATGGCATAAGTCTTCCAGAGGGCAAATTCATCCTCAAGGCAACATGTGAGAGGCCTCAGCTTAAGTTTCTTTGAGGCCAGCGCTGGCTATGTGAAGCCGAAACTGAAGGTCTCGTATTACTTGTCACCAGAGTGTCCACAGACAATTGTGGATCTGGTTTCTCCTTCTTTGCGTGAGATGAATTGGACGTGCTCGGTAGCGCAACAAGCTGAGATTCCGCCGATTTTCATTTGGGAAGGCTCTCGTCGTAGCATCGATCCTGCCCCTACACTGTCACGGGGTGGCCTTGTGAATCGAGTTTCGGGAGCCTTTTCCGTCACCACCAAAGTTGGCATGCTGAAGGCCGTGTGCCCTGGCATTATGTCCTGTCCAGTCGAGCAATCGCAAGCATTTCAAGCAGCTTCGGACATTAACATGTCGCAATTCACATGTTGAATAATTAATGTTGATAGGTACAATTTCCATCACAATCCTAGGCACAGCTTCACTTTGCGAAAGGGCACAGCTTTCCCTCCACCATGGTATTCTTTGGCCTATGAGCTGCCGGCAGACCTCGAGAGTTGGCGACAGTGGCACGACATAGCAACGAGTATCAGGATCTGTTGCCTACAGGGCCCCCCTGGAGAGTACATAGTGGATACTCGTAGTCGGATAGTAGTGGTAAGTTGGTTTATGTTGATTTAGGCCAACCAGGATTTATGATGATCTATGGTGGATGTATCCATAGGCAAACGGATCAAGGGGGTTACAAACCAACATGGGTACAGGAAGAGGCATTTTTTTGGGCGAGAGACATACTGTGGCCTATTCTGAGCTCATTGTTGCCCCAAGTGTTATCACTATATAGTCATCACTAGTAGAAGTCCTATTCGTTTGTTTTGTTTGTGAGCATGCCATGGTAAATTGAGTCATATTGAGCGTATCAGTGTCTTCCAAGGGAGTTGTTTGATGGATTGAGTTGAGTCTTCCAATGAAGCATTTTTATACATTTTTGACCATTTTTGCAATATCGTTTGCACATGTTTGTGCATCTGTATCCATTCCTAGCTGCATCTAGCCGCCAAGGCATGCCCAGCAGCACCCACAGAAGCGTTGGATCTACAAGCCGAATGGCTTCTTGCCGTCAAGAACGACAGCTTAGGCTATCTATGCCCCTATGATCACTATGGCCATGTTAGTTTCATCAAGATTCTGTTGCATTTTGTTGCTGGATCATGTTGGATCTACGATATGCAGCTGTCGCCTTCAGGTGGTGCTCGTGGCATTGGCCTTATCCTCGTCTCTTCGGTGTCTGATGTAGACTCTGCCGAACGTCCATTCCAAGATCGCTGTCGAGCACCTCGTGCTGAAGACATGCCGCTAGACTGGAACGCGGTTTGTTGGGAACTTTGACCTGGATTTTCGGAGTGACTCCGCCTGCAGATGCATAGTACCTGTTGGCATGTATAGTGGGACGATGTGGGACGTATTGACCCTTTGGAAGAACTTTTCGAACACATGGCTTTTCAGTCCATGACCTCATTTGCATTCATTTTCATCATTGTGCCTCATAGAGGCACTCATCACCTTTGGAAGAACGTCACTGAGCTTGCACGAATGGCTGCATCAGTGCACACTTTTGGGCGCTTGAAAGATCTTCGGCATGCTTGGCCTGATCTTCTGGCGGCAACCAAGGATATTTTGCACCTAGTGGCATCATTCAGGACACATACCCTTGGGGTTGCACAGGTGAGGGGTGAGACAAAGTATTTCAATCAAAAGCTCCTTGCCGCACAAGACGGTCATGAATCCAGAACATATCTGCAATACACATGGTCTAGCGTCTCCCTTCAACTTCAGAGCCGCAGCAGGAGTATGTTCAAGACTTGCAGCTTCTTCGTGGGCACAAGTGCTTGACTCAAACACACTCGGACTAAATGCTCATTACATCTCATTACACTGAAACCATGCCCTGACCATGCTGTGTGCTCTGTTGTGATTGATGCTGTTCAACAAAATTCAGGTTTGCGGTGAGAACATATGTGTGCCTCAGCAGAACTGAGCTGGAATTGCATGTCGAGATTGAGGGGGCTGGACGGGCTGCACACCGCTCACATCAACGATGACTCGACGATGACAATGACAGTGAAACGATAGCAATGACCATGACGCCGATTCTACAATCGGATGCAGCCGGTAGTGTATGTTGATGACAACCATGACGACGATTACAGTAATCAGTGATTGTGTTGATGTCGATGTCAATGATAATGACGATGACGACGACGAGGATGAGGACGAGGATGAGAATGAGGCGGATCTGGATGAGGATGATGATGATGATGAGGAGGAGCACGACGACGATGACGACGATGACAGTACTAGTAGTGGTGGTGGTTTTTGCAGCTGGAATGACCAGTGAGAAAACACGACAATGATGTGTCGATATGCGTGGGAAAAATGGGCTATGTGCATTTCGCTTTCCCATTAGGGTCATTTCAACAAGAATTCATCATTCATCAGCTTTTGTGAATCTTTGTGAGGCTCATTGCTCGTGTCAAGCCACTGCTGGTCTTATTGCATGGGGCAGCGTATGCGAAGGTTTGCGGTCAGGCTTTCGATGCGGCCTGCTTCAGCCAGGCCAGGTGAAATTTCGATATCAGATCTACTCTGCAGCTTGTAACAGGTGATAACAGGTGTTAGAAAACACATGCATTGGACGTGATAAGAACACCATGAACTTGGAGCAAGACCATGAAACAGTACTGACACGCCTCACGTCGAGCTTGCGCTACGAAGGCAGACCTCTTTCGACATGCTGCTCAGCTGAGACCAGCAACGGGTGTGGGATGCTTTGCAATGTCAATGCTGCTAAGGTGACGAACCAAGAGTTTCAAAAGAAGGGCTCGGAAGTGCACGAAGACTGGAAGGTCAAATGGGAGGGGGCAGAGATGTGAGTGGCCCTTGAGAAGACATATATATTTATATATAAATCAAATGAAGAATTTGAAGGAAAATGAAGGGAAACTACCGCTGTTGAGGGGCTGCATCTAGATTCCAGCTCACTGGTAGACGCCGTGCTCAGCCTGATGGATGATATGGTTGCAGGTTTGGCCCGTCATGCTGTTGAGGGATTTAGCACAGCAGCTGCACAATGACCAAGGACGCTCAGCTGTGCTCTTTGTTCACACGGCCGAACTTTCAACCAAGCAGAATCTACAAGTATATATTCCTCTTAGAGCAGGGCCCACTTGTGACCTCCAGGACAGGCAACCCTTTGGCTCTCCTCTTTCTGGAAGCAAGTCCGAGAAATTTGCCTTCAAGTGATCGATAGCTTCTCTGAGTCAATTCGTGTCTCGATTGATTTCATGATTCGCTGCGAGCACTCGTTACTTCTGCACCAAGCGGTTTCTCATGGTTTCTCCTTGCTTTGCCCCGTGCTTCTGCCTTAATGTGAGGTGAAAGCCAGCCCGGGATGTTCGAGATTCTGGGCTTGGACTTCGTTTGCAAGGCTGCTTGGACACGCTGCCAGAAAGCTGCGCGATCAAGAAACATAAGTTATAATATGTTATAAGCAGAAACTGAGGCAGATGGCTCTTTGATCTTTTTGGAAGCCAACCGGGATCCCTCTTGGGTCATCGACGGTGGTGCTAAGAAAGTCACGTGCTTGCAGACTATGCCAGTTTCACAGCATTTCAATGCACTGGAAGAGTTCAAGCTGTTTGTTTTTGGATGCGGTTCCCAGTTTCCAGGTTCTGCTTTCATTTGACACACTCTTACAGGCAATCATTCCTGCTTTGGTGAGCGATATGCACCTTGACTTCAAACAGTGTGTGAGTTCACTTGCTGCAACTTTGTGCCAGCTCCTTCAACCATAGTCATAATATGTCATAATATGTCATAGTCTGCCGGCTAGTCATCCACTGTTCGGCTTCATGCAGGACGACGGTTGCCGTTTTCACATGTTTTCACCTTGTCACGCAGGCTGTCTATCGTGCTTCGGTGTCATGGGGGCGGAGAGTCAAGTGGATGGCTGAATCCGGGTGGATGCTTGGCCGCTTTAACACGACCGGAAGATCTCCAAGGGAAGCTTGGTTTGATGATTTTGATGTCCGCCAGATATGAACCACCCAGGATATCCCAGAATAAGAATACCAGGCTACAAGTGCTGGAATTTTTATGGAATTTTCCTGTTGAACATGTTGATGTGTCACTGCAGGCTAGATTGATCATATAGATTGATCATGATTGATCTAATTAGATTGTCTAGCACTGCAGAGTCCAATCTGCTGAGGGCACGAGTTCCAATTTGAGATCCTTGTGGACGAAGCCAAAGAGATTCAAGCAAGGAAAAAAGGCACCAGCCAGTGCTCAAAGAGCTGCAGCCGAGTTCAGTGGCAGACGGGTCGCAGACGGATGTATATATATATATATATCTGTGTGTGCGCGCGCGCGCAATGTATGCAAGCATAACATTGAATAACCATCTCCACAATTCACCTCAATATATCCCAGTATAATTCACTAATTATATCTCAATCCAATTTGTTATTTCTTCCTTCTCCACCTGACTTGGTGACAGCAATTCTGCGTATGCAAACTTGCTTTGGCTTCAGGATCAGATGGATCAGGAGTGTGCTGAGAATGTTGGGTCGTTTCGTGAATCCAGGGTGGGTGCACGTGTTGCGTCCATCCCTCCGAGCAATGTCAGGCCAAGAGGTCAAACGACGTCGAGTGGAATCTTTATCCGTTGGCATGGTGGGCTTTGGCTCCATTGGGAAAGTCATTGCAGAGTCATTAAACTCCGGAGCGATTTCAGGTGTATCCTTGGGTGCCGTGATTGTGCAAAATGAGCGTTCTGAGCGACCACCCGAGATTGGGACTGCGGTCCTGACCACGAGCATCGAAGAGTTTCTTGCAGCTGACTGGTTCCTTTGTGTAGAAGTTGCTGGCCAACCTTGGATCCGTGACCATGGGAAGACAGTGTTGGCTCAGGGAAGGGATTTGCTCGTCACTTCTGTTGGTGTCTTTACAGATGACCAGCTGCTGGAAGATCTGACCTCCACAGCTCGCGGCTCTAACTCCCGACTGCTGTTGCCTGCTGGGGCAATGCCAGGCTTGGACTGGATGTCAAGTGCAGCCTTGGACGAAGTGGAGGAGATTACCTTGGAGCAGCGGAAAAGACCGGAGGGTTGGCGTGGTACCCCAGCAGAGAAACATTTGGATTTGACAACTCTGACTGAAGAGGCTACGGTTTTTCAAGGTCCGGCTCGTAAAGCCGCCAGTGAGTTCCCCAAGAATGCCAACATTGCAGCAGCACTGGCCTTGGGCACTGTTGGACTGGACAAGTTGCAAGTTCGACTAGTGGCAGATCCGACGGTGCCTGGACCAACCAACAGAGTAACTCTGAAGGGCCGCTGCGGCGAGCTCTCCTTAGAAGTGCGCGGCAAACCTCTGAGCCAACGCACGTCTCGCATCGTTCCATTTTCTGTGCTGAAGGCATTGAAGAACTTGTCCTCCCCGCTGAGCATTGGTCTCTAGGAGATTTGATCACCCCGCCTGCGGGTAGTATGTTGTATATTGATTGTATATTAATATTGTTGTATGAATTGATACATCATCAGGTTTGGAATGGTTTGGAGCCAATGTGCTGACATCTCCTGACATTGTTTCATAGTCAGAATGACATCACTGCGCAATTTATGCCACAGAGTCCCGCAGAAAAACAACTTGACAGTTTCTTTCCAGCATGGGCCCTGAGTGCCCAACCCAGAACAGTAGAGATTTAAACAAGAAGACCTTGCTCCCAAATCAAAGAAGTTATATAGACTCATGCTTATGACTTATAACATTCTTATATATATATATAAAATATAAATCTAAGATATTTAATGTAAGTACATTGACTCAGAGACTTCATCCAAGCTATTGATTCTTGCACCGATCTTGTGCAACTAGTTCAGTAGCATTCCATTCTTCATTGAAGACCATTCTTGATTGCAGTTGCACAATGCTGTTTTTTCTCAATCTTATTTTGTCTATTTTTTTTCGCCCCCAGTCTTCCACATTCCTTCTCGACTTATGTGCCACGCAGGCAGATTGGTGTAAAATCATACTGACTGTGCCCAGGAATGCATCTTTCTACGAGGGAGAGGAGGCCCAATGGCCCAATTACATCATGTTCTGACATGTTCTGACATGTTCTGACATGTTCTGACCTTCTACTTGCAAACCGATCCGACGAAGACACGTGAGAGCTCGAGAGGTTCACACAGTTTCCGGAAAGCTGCCACCCATGAAACATCATGAAACTGCAAAGAGACCATCCCTGAGAGTTGGAAACGTGTTGGGTACATTTGGTTACCACGTTGTGAGATGTTGTGAGATGTTGCCAAGTGTCAAGTGAAGATTGTCCGCCTGCAAGCCGGGCCAGGCTCAGAGCATCAACCTCATGGGCAGGCTTGACGCATTTGCAGAAGCTAATGCCGTCCGCTTGGGTGCTTGAACTGCTTGAACTGCTTGAACTGCTTGAACTGCTTGAACTTTAGTAGAAGGCAACATGTCTTGTTTACATTTGTTTACATGTATGTTGTGACCGAGAAGGCCATGGTATTTCGACTTTTACCAATCACATGTGAGCGGTGATGATTGCATGATTGTGAATTTTATAAGGCTTGTTTTACAGAGAAAAGTTGGATCAAAGATGCAGTTGTTTCAACTTGTGAAACATCGTTGTGATGTGGGGCCCTTCATGATGCCCAAGCCACTTGTGCGCACTCATCAGCATCCATGGTATATGGTACCGGAGCCGCCAGCTCAAACATGTTCTGTAGATTCCCTCCAGTTCTTTGTGCGCCCTTCACAGCAGGTCGGGAGAGCCTTTAAATCATGCAAGATCGTGCAAGCCATCCATCACAGAAAAATCATTAGCAACACTCAGTAATGAACCGGTGTGCTTCTCACGGATCGAGGAGTGAAGGTACTCTCTGGATGCAGAGTTTGGTGATATTTGATGCCCGTTTTCCATCGTTTTCCGTGGTCAGGTTTCAGCCTGACATGGCGGCTAGAGCAAGCACAAGACGGTCAGCCAAACTTGCCACCCAAGAAGTCCCTCCTTGGGCAAGCAAGTCTAGCGAGGACGAGCTGTTCGGGACTCAGCCTGGTAGAGTATCTATATAGCATTGATTTATATATATGGATTTTACATTGATTTTGTTATATACAATTATAATTAATTTATATAAACAATTATAAACAATTTATAAACATTTATAAACTATTATTGGCACTTATGGGTTATGGAATGGCGCCGCCATCACTATTTAGGAGGATTGGAGTTTTGGGTCTTGGGGCTGTTTTCCTGCTTGATTCCAAGGCTAAACAATGATGAGCTGCGTGAAAAGATTGAACGAGAAAGAGGCGTTGCGGGATGGATTGTGATGTAGCTTTTCCGAAGCGTTTGTCAATTACATTCAATTACCTTTCTTGCCAGGAGTGGACAAGCTGTAACTTGATCTGCACATGTATATTTAGGCCGGTGAGACAGCATAATCACGAATTGCAGTTTTACGTTTTCATATCTTTTGCTTCCTTTACGATGGAAAAGTTGAAGCGGCGCGCCGATTCATCTCCATCCATACTCAGGACGGGTTTGAACAAGAAAGTTGATGAAGGAGACTTCCAAGCTGTGTTGAAGAAGGCTTGCGCAAGGGCAGTGGTCTGAATTTGCCTGTGAGATCCTATGAGAAAAGCTGACCTGCAACGGACTCAAACCGGGACAAAAAGTGATCAAACACATGCAGAAGTTGACTCACTGGGGCCAGTACGTCAATATATCGAACACCTTGCTGCAGGAAGGCGTGGGGACGAACGGAGATTCAACGCAGCAAAGCTCAGGGCTCAGAGAAATGGGCCATATGAGAGAGCGTCACGAACGGTCTGTGAAATCATGCTGGAAACTCCTGGAAACTCAAAAAATCTCAAAAATAAGATTGAGAAAGGTTACATAACCAAAGGTGCCACCGCAAAGATTTGATAGGAGTCTGAGAAGAGTTTGTCAAAACAGCCCCTGTAAATTTCACGTTGGTCAGGAAACTTCGTTGAACAGCCCGCCTTCGACATTGCCGACACCTGAGAGTTGGACAGTGCGATGTTTGTGCTTCACTGGCTTAACTTTAGAAAACTTATAGGAAACTTAGGAAAGTCTCTCTCTCATCGTGGAAACATTTGGGAGACTGCTTTCGATGGAACCACCAGAGATGTGAAGTGCATTTCTGTGACAGTCTTTGACATTTGAGTTTGAGATAGCCATAGCAGATCAGAGGGGAAAATAGAACAGATGAGAACAGCATGTCAGCTGTGAGCCGTGCATAGCTGTGCAGGCCATTGCTTCAGCCATTATTCTCAACTGCATTGTGTTGGGCCTGGAGATCGACTTGGCTCAGCAGCCTGGCAGTTTTCAGCACATCCCGGCTTGCATCAAGGTGTTAGAGATAATGTGGCGTCAAGATCAAGGATCATCAATCTTCAATGCTGTTGTTGACTAAAGCTGTATGGCACCCCTAGTTTGAATGGCCGCATCAAATTCTGTATTGCATGTGGTTGGGAAATGGGCACGCGGGAGTAGAGCAGTCCCGCACATATTAATATATATATATATATTAATATATATATATATATATATTAATATATATATATATCTTGTGTGTGGAGTATTCCACGAGAAGGTTACAGAATACATTCGATGCGTTGGGGCCGCATTAGTCCTTGATGGAATGGCGAATTGTAATGCTACACTAATTTTAATAATGTGATGATTGCAGCAACAAAGAGCGCAAATGTTTGGCGCTTGTGAGATTGTCTGGACGTGTGAAATGGGAGGGAATGGAACGCAGTGCAATGTGGTGCAATATTATCATGCATGGACTGCATAGATGGATGGATGGATGGATGGAGGGATGGATGGATGTTTGGTGTTGCGATGTATCGCATACAAATTCCAGAATTAGAAGTTGGGCACTTTTCGAAAACGCTTTCTTGCCACAAAATCAGCCCAGTTTCTGTCCAGCCTCGCGTGATCCCCCAATCCTTGGAGGCATTCCTCACCAACTCTTTGGATTGTTTTCGAGTTCCCTGGCTGCAGAAGCACAGTCTCCTCCAACAAGGAAGGCACTTCCGCCTCTGCTTCTAAACCATTCTGAACTTTCCAGTCACTACTGTCACACGAACGAGCTTTGCGCCTTCCTTTCCCAATTTTTTGCGGCTTGGCGTGACGCGGCATGAGTGAACCAGGAATTTATTCTGCCTTACCTGGATAGTGGAGATGCTTCTGAAGGTGTACTACCTGAAGTTGGCATATTTCAAAGACCTTTGGAACTACCTAGACCCCAAGCTGCACAATAGGGGAAGCGCCGGCAGTGGACTGATTGTGTGACCTGCTCAGGCAGAAGCACATCAGATCTCTGAACATTGGAGAGAGATGGCAAGAGAAAATAGGTATGCCGACCTATGGCAAGACTTTCTTGAATTGTATCTATTATCTATTTGTTTATTTAGAGATACCAAGAGCAACAAGCCTACAAAGGCACCATGTTGTCCTCCTTAGGGTTGTGAGGCAGATGGGTTCGACAGATTAGCAGATTAGCAGCTTCTCTTCTGTGGAATGTATTTGAGGACCTGTTCCTGGTCTTTCTAGCAATTTATGATGCCTGGATATCACGATGGATGGCTTCAGCAAGCCACTAGCCATGCAACGAGCCACCGAAGACCTCCTATGGAGCTGCCAACATGCTATTTACATTTGTTATACATTTGTTATACATTTGTTTACTACTGTTTGCTCTCTACATCTCTCTACAGTGCACAGACGTAGCACCATGTAGCACCCACCAGCAAGCCAAGGCGATTTGGGATATCTCCGAGTAATACGAATGTTGCGGCTTCTGCGATTAGTGACGCTAAGCCCCATGCAGAATTGTGCAGATCAAGTATACCAAGTGTGAGTGTGGCCTTTATATGCCTTTATTTCCTTTGGCACTTAGAAGTTGTTGATGACTATTTGGTGACCTAGACTGGTGCTGCACATTTGTTCTCATTTGTTCCCTTGGTTTGTCGTTAATTTCGATGCGTTCTGATTTTCCCTCACATTTCCACCCTCAACGTTGGCAGTGCTTAGGAAGCTGTTCAAGGTCGCTTTGGCTGCAGGGTAGTTTTGAATCTGTATGAATCTGTAATCTAATTGCTTACACTTGTTGCTGGCTATTCCTGTTGCTGATTTTCTGTGTGAAGACTTGAAGACTCATGCCTAATGATGCCAAGATGGAAAGGTCATGAAGATGTCAAGGAATCTCTGGCTGCTGGTGCAAGGCTTCATCGAGCCTCGGACCTTTACTGGACAGCATGCAGTGTGCATGCAGCACTGAAGCTACTGCTACTGAACATTTGCATCTCTTCGGCCGCTGCCTAAGGAGTCGTTTAGTACACTGTGCTGGGTCTCCTTCCTCATTCTCTTCGTGATCTATGTGTCCCGGCATGCAAAAGGTGCATTTAGGACATGGCACTGGGCCACTTTTGGCTCCGTGAGCATGATAAACTCAGGCGTATTCGTGCCTCTTTCGCCCCTTGCCGGCAAGTCGGAAGTTAAATTCGTCAAACAGATGAGAAAAACATATTAAAAAATGATGCAACTGGGTGACGTCTTGACTCTATGCTTCACATTTGCAATTGGAGACTCCGAGGCATTTTGGTAGATTGCAGAAAGGACTTTTCAGGCTGGAGCGACTGTTCAATGTCCGGACCCAAATTCCTGCTTTCTCAACAACAATGATCAACAATGCGGGTCCATTTTGCATCAGCTTTGGCCATTCTTTCGTTCCAAGGTTATTTGGAAGCATGCCAAAGGCCATGTTCACTCTTTTTCAGGCTCGCGTTGTTTGGACTCAGTTGAACCATGCAGCTATGGCCATGCTGCTACCTGATGGTTGCTAAAACGCTTTCCACAACCTGACGGGCTTGGTCTTTTGGGTTGTATTGCAATATGTGTATGTGCATGCATTTGATGCATTTGGACGTCTTTGTTCTGAGAAGTTGTCTTCAATATTCTTCAATTGTATTTCTCTGACCGTCATCGCCAGATGCTCACTTTGGAGTCATGGAGACATCTGGCTGCAAGCAATGGCTTGAGAGAAGCTGTTAGATTTGGCAGTATATTATCTTTTTATGGAGCGTGGGGTGGCAACACCATCCAGAAGTAGGTCGGACATGGTCTTACCCCATTTTACAGTCCTTTGGTTTTGCTGCCCTCCACTGCTTGCGTTTTCGCTTCCACGCTCTGCTCCGCCCACTTGACGATGATACTAAGGCATGCTCATAGCACGGCCTTTGATTGAAGTAAACCCAGCATTATTCGAATCTTGGCTTCAAAGCTTGCCCAAGGATCTAGTTAAAGCCAGAAGGCCCGTCCACTCCTGCATAAGTTGTCGCAGCTTGTGCCATCTTGTGCCCTGATTAATCCCAGTGGGACATGTTCCTAGGTCGCAATCATTTCATTTATACTGCTGACGACGTTTGGCTTGTTGCCTGACCCTCAGAATTTCTGTCTTTTCATCCGAATGTACAGCGGTTCTAGTCACTCTTCAATGTCACAGCATCACAGCATCACAGGGTCACCGCGTGCTTAGGAACATCATTGTCGGCGTCGTTGTGGAGAATACGTTCCTATTGGGAGCAAACACAGAAGAGAGAAGCAACTGAGGGCCACATAGGGCCACTATATATTGCAGCATGTTCCAGCTGAGGTTGAGCGTTGCGAAGCAGAACCTGGACCTACAGACAAAGCGCGCCGAACGCCAACTCTTCAAGGAGTGAAGTTTCACCGTTTCACCATGTTTCACCAATCCCGTTTAATGTCGACATTGTTTGAATACGCGTTCTTCGAAGTCTTCGATTCACCAGGGTGAAGGATGGTACAGTCTGGGCAAGGGGCGTGTTGGAAATTCCAAGGGCACCTTCTCCACATGTTGACACCAGGCAAGCTCTTTGGGCAGAACGGCAGAACAGAAGTTCCTTAAACAGGGCCCAAAATAATCTAAAATAATCCCCCTGTTTGGTCCCCGTTTGTGTACCATCTTGCCTAAGTTGTGAAGAAAAATTGTCGGCAACTCGTCCTATAACGTTGACCCAAAGATTTTTAGCTTAGTGACTCCAACATCGCCGTTGGAAGGGTTTTCAGATCAGGTCCGTTCTATTTGTTTGGTGAAGTTGTTGTATGTTTACATATATGACATATACATGTTTATCATGTTTATGCCTACGGCAGGAAAACCGTACGTGCGTTTTGCTACTTTTTTGCGTATTGCTGCTTGGGGTGGGGTGGGGTGGGGTGGGGTGGGGGGGCATGTTAACGTTCCTGCTACGCTGCTGATGGGGTGGGGTGGGGTGGGGTGGGGGGGCATGTTAACGTTCCTTGTACTTCGTGCATTATATATTGCCATGTTGCTAAGATTTCTGGGATCTTTTACTACGTTACATGTTGCTACGCTGCTGAGATCTCTGGGATCTTGTACGACGTTACATGTTGCTACGCTGCTGATGGGGTGGGGTGGGGTGGGGTGGGGGGCATGTTAACGTTCCTTGTACTTCGTGCATTATATATTGCCATGTTGCTAAGATCTCTGGGATCTTTTACTACGTTACATGTTGCTACGTTGCTAAGATCTCTGGGATCTTGTACTACGTTACATGTTGCTACGCTGCTGAGATCTCTGGGATCTTTTACTACGTTACATGTTGCTACGTTGCTAAGATCTCTGGGATCTTTTACTACGTTACATGTTGCTACGTTGCTAAGATCTCTGGGATCTTGTACTACGTTACATGTTGCTACGCTGCTGAGATCTCTGGGATCTTTTACTACGTTACATGTTGCTACGTTGCTAAGATCTCTGGGATCTTTTACTACGTTACATGTTGCTACGCTACGCTGCTGGGTGTGTAAAAAACTCGTCGAATCCACATCTGATGCACGTGGTATTCGCAAGGAATTGTCAAAATTCAATAGATTTTGCATCCACTTTTTTTGACCAAAATTCAATTATCAAACGAGTTCGGAACAGCATTTTATACTGTAAATTACAGGTGATTCTGACTCTCCTGGAAACACACAATCAAAACGCTCGCGCGGTTTCCCTTCCGCCGGGATGTTTATCTATCTATTATCATTCATGAACTATCTATCTATCTAATTATCTATCTATGCATCCATCCATCGATCCATCTATCTATCTTTCTTTATCGATTTATCTTTACTTTATCTTTCTATCCACCCATCCATCCCTCCATCCATCCATACATCTATCCACCCATCCATCCAGCCATCCATCCATCCATCCAGCCATCCATCCATCGATTATTTACAATATTATACAGTGATTACTAGTAATACACAATATTATATATATTGTGTAAGTGTATGATTGTGATAGACTACGTATGCGTGGGTTCACTGTTGAAATCTGCGTATAGTACGGTTGGTCCCGGCAGTGATTTCAGGAGCTGGAGCTTCTGAGAACTGTCTTCGAGGAAGCTGACGTAGATGGTGGCTGGGTTGAAAGACACGGCAAAGAAACATCAACTTTTGAAATGCAGCAATGAATGTCGCAGTACGCACTCTTGGTTGGAACTGCTTGTCGAATTGTGAAGTTGAAATGCATCGAACTTGCAAAAGACACCAACAACAAAAAATACACGATGAAGATGATACATACATACATACATACATACATACATACATACATACATATATATATATATGCATGTATGTATGCAATTTATGTATTGAATATTAAACTCACAGGAGACAATGACAGTATGAACCAACAGCGATAAAGTATACCCCCCTACTGGTAGCCCGCAGCTGCGTTTTATATGCGCCCAGGGGCGGGACCCCGGGACTATATGATATATAATAAAGCAGGTACATTTTCACAGGAACATTGCAGCGTCTTCGTTGGCCGCTGACTGCAATGTTCCCCAGCGGCCCCCTTCTAAAAGTAGAAGTTTTACATCCATTCAGATGGTACACACACATGAAATGACTACATATTTATTTATGTATTATTTATTTGTGCATTTATTTGTTTATGTATTTATTTATTCATCTATTTATTTACTTTTTATTCATAGCAAATTGAATACACATAAATAGGTCATATGCAGAGAATTGTTCTACAGTTGTTTGGGAAACAGGCCGAACTCATTGCTTTGCGTGTGCTTTATCAAGTTAAACTCCAAGGAAGCGGGACGATGGACAAGAGGGAGTTTTGCGAGATTTGCAATACAATCAGCGTGAGGTGCTCGAAAGTTGTTGGCGCTGGCTTTGGGCATCGCCCATTTTCCATCACTTTCCTATATTATTAAATTATTGATGTGGTTGGCCATCCAATTCGGTGGCAAAGGATATGGTGGTCACCGGGATTGTGGATGGGGATCCGCCCTCGACCAACATGACCTGGTCGCAAATCGCATTGCAGGCGTGCGCTTCATCGAATGGGGGTGCCGTTGGACCAAGCAGAGACCCTGTTTGACATCATTGATTCAAACAAGATGGGCGAGGCGCAGATGGATCATGATGGGCGAAGCAGGAATCAATTTTTGCCCCAAGACCATTTTTATTGGGAATCTTGTCCTGATGTGAACATGTGAACATCAAGAACTGATAATAACTGATAGAATGGGTTTAATTGCATTTGCTTCGGGTCACTGATGTTGAGAAATGAATGGGTTTCATACTCTTCCGTACGTTTTCTGTATTCCCGTGTGAAGGTGCATTGCCATGGTAGTTTGATGTTCCCAACCAGAGCCCGGCAGGTTTCCTTCCCAGACTTCGTAGAAGGTGTCAAGAATGTCGCGCGGCAGCAAGCCAGAGTGCGACCAGATATCTGCAGTCAAGCCCCGCTTTTATGGTGAGGTGCGAGGAGTTCCAACCAATCTTGACATGAAGGCCGGGGCCCTAAGGCTATACCAACTTCAAACCAGGTAGAACATGGCCTATTGACGCGAAGAAATTGGTGTCTACGTAGAAGCAAGGGGTTGCAAATTGTTCCATTGCCGCCAGACTATGATCGTGGCGGTCAAGAACATACACAAGCAACAAGTGCGCTTTGAGAAGGTGCAGTGCTGTGATATGCTGTGATATGCTGTGTGCTTCTGATCATTTTTTGATGGCCACCGGCTTTGCACGGAAGCAAGACTGTAACTGCAGAGTGCGCCTGTGTAATTAGGAGTCGGTGCAGCTCCAACGAGTTCTGTTGGGATTCATCCAGGAAGGGTTTTGCACGTCCAGTGCAGCATCAGCGGTTTGGTGAAATAGAGGCAATATTGGCAATAGCATTGCTTCTGATAGCTTCTGATATTTTCCAGTTGGCCTACTAAGATTCTTTGAGTTTAACAATGCTCCGGATTTTCCATTTTTGAGTTGTTTGCTTCCTTCTGACTTGCAGCGCTGCTTGTTGTCAGGAGGCGCAGGAGGATGGAAATGTCATACACCTCCCTCCCACAGAAGAACTTGAAGAATTGCTGAAGGCAGTATCAATCTGGCAAGAGATTTCCAGATGCTAGGAGGAGACAAGAAGACAAACTCGAGAGCATGTCGCAGCATGTAGTGAGTTAAGGGCCTTGTGGCCTTATGGCAAGTGCGGCATCGGCAAGCGTGGTTGGTGCAGCCAGGTGAGGAAGGGCTTGACCTCCATGACAACGGGCACCTTTAGCAACTACAGTCCACGAGGAGCCAGCAAAATAAGCTTGAGAGAAGAAGCGAGGAGTGAGGCCGGGGAGAATGGATGCTAGGAAAAGGCGGCTCAACATTTTGCAACCTTGACTGGCATGCGGCATGATAATATTTTAATGTCGTTCCATGTTTTTCATTGCTTTTCCACATGCAGTTCCGTGATAGTAAAGTGCTGATGGAAGGATAGTATAGAGTTGTTTGGAGGGGAGTTTTTGTCCTGCGAAGTGTGGGTGCTGCTTTCATTGCAGGTCTTCAGTGAACATGCGAGCCCGCAGATTCCATCGTTGGAGGAGGGATTGCCCGATTTCAAGAAGACAATGGAGAGCGCACGTTTCAAGAAGACAAGTCCAGACCAACTCACGTTTCACATTTTTGCTCCCCTGACATGCCCCAGTGATCCCCCATGCTTGACACATCCTATGGTCAGCACCAGTTTCTTGATGCTTGCGACCTGACAGGTGCCAACAAGGGTAGCCAATGTGCATCCATCCCAGGCGAATGCAAGCACTGATGAACCATAAGATACCATAAGTCAGTTATAATAAGTATTCGTCATATGTCGCACAGGCTTTCATTTTTTCCATGTTGTTCTGGCTGCTAAGTCGGTGTCACACGAATCCACCAGATCTCATGAACCGCTCATGAGCGTGCCATCGTGCCATCGTGTGCCATCCATTCTCAACTGTTGTGTCCTGGATGCCACTGCAAGGTGGGTTCTCTTTCAGTGCCAGAGGCCTCGATGATGACTTGAAGGGACAAGAGTCCGGAGATGTTTGCAGAGACATGACTGCTTGTAATGGATAGCTTTACTCCTTGGACAGTGCGGCAACTGTTGACAATGGGGACATTGCAGAATCAGCAAACTCAATCGGGACATCGGCTAGACCACTTGATGTTGATGAGGTAGCACAAGCGACATGCAACCCTGTTGAACACAAGCATGAAGGAAGCAAACTTAAGTATGAACACCTTGTCTCGCGACATTCGTAATCTCAAACAAATCTCACTTCTTGAATCTCAATTTTGGAGAATTGAGCCGCGCTGAATCTTTTTATTGTGAACATTGTTTTTTTCTGCCCTTTGGCCTCTTGACAGGGGGTGTCGCCATCGCTCGACGTCAATGTCCCCACTATGCGGGAACCCATTGATGACAGCCTGCTGAGCGACGGTACATTACCGGGCCAACCGCTCGATGAAAGTGCCGCTAGCTCGAGCAAATCCATGCCACTCGAGATGCAAAGACCATCAAGTCAGCCATCGCGGTCCCCCATCCCATTGGGGATAGGAGAGAGCCCATCGAGAACTTTGCACGGCCACTTATGCCACTTGGAACCAAATGGTGCTCCATAGGACTCCAACCCGCTCCTTTTCTTATGGAGACTTATGGAACTTGAGACCGGGCCTCTAGGCTCCCAAATAATTAAGCATTCAGCCACTGTCTGCGACAGATCAAGATCAAGGAATAAGATGGCAACTGTTGAGCCACTTGAGTAGCTCAAGAAACCAGGCGTCATTTGTGCAAGAGAGAATATTTCTCGCGCTTTTGCGGATTGCTCATTTTTTTCACAGCTGGTTCATTTCAACGACATATTTCAAGCTATTTCAATGCGTGACATGGCAGCCTCATGGTTATCTCAGGTGCCAGCGGCGTGCAGAGCATGGTTCGGCAGTTGTCTCAAGACACTACTGAGTCGCTCGGCAGCGGGGCTGGTGAGAGAGGAATGGGCAGCAGTAGGCAAGCTATTTCTGCACGCATGTGCATGTATACGACCGACATGTATCGACACTTATAATTACAATATATTACAATCAAATGTATAATTTAAATTTATATCATTTTATCATTTATATCATATAAACCCATACGCTATTTGCATATGTACTCTCTGGTCAGCTATCGTGGAAGTCGTTTTTGGCTTAATTTTTTTCGGCTTCCAGGTTAGTCATTTCTCGGGGACAGATGAACCAGGTCAAATCTGGCTAACCAGGAAGCAGGAAGCATTTTGTTGGCAACTTCTTGGTTAGCCAATCCAACCTGGGTGAACACCTCCTTTTTAGGTAAACCCAGAACCAAACCATCGATTTCGATCAGCCCAATGTAGGTTCTTGGTTAGCTAGACCTTGAACTAAACTTTTGATTTCAAACAATCACTGGTAGGTGCCTGGTTAGCTAGCCTAGGAAAGTGCATAAGCAATTACAAATAACCCAGACCTGCCTACTGGGGTTGCTTGTGGTCAATGGGATGGACATGGGCACCACACGACATGATTATTTGTTTATATACACACATATGTGTGGATTCTTGTTTGCCAGAGTAAAAAAACAACGAACAAAAACAAAGAAATAACGCACATAATGTTGTTTTTTAGCTGATACCCCTTATATCCCCTTATTGCCCAGTGTCAAAATGGGAAAAACACCAAACACTTTTTTTTAATGGAAAAAAAGTTGGAAACTATTTTTCCCATATCATTTATGTATGCAGGACACGTTTAAAAATTTTAAAACGTATATGCCCACCATTTTTTTTTCAATTTTATTCATTTTTGATATTCTTATTTTCGATTCTTGTTTTCCCGTTGTGCTTCCCAGTTGTTATTCCCCGTTGTGGCTCCTCATTATCGGCTCGGCCCAGAGCTTGGCCTTGTGTCTCCCCATTGTGGTTCCCATTGTGCTGCCGCGTCGGCGGCTCTGCCTCTGCAGACGACCGTCCCCAACTCAGAGTTGGTTTCCCCAGTTTCCTCAACTTCTAAGTTAGTCATTCCTTTGTCTAGTCCCAAACTCTAGCATGTCTGGCTCTTGGGGTTTCAGCACGGACCACGAAATGAAATGAGGGAGTGATTAACTTGGAAGTATGATGGTTTGTTTTTGATTTTCTGTCACGACTGCAGCGGTTGACTCTCCTTTGGCGCCAAAGGAGAGCCAACCGCTGCAGCCGTGACAGAAAATGGGAGGACCGACCATCACACGTCTAAGTTAGTCGCTCCCTTGTCCGGGCCCGAAACGCAGCATGTCAGGGTCTCAGCGCTCTGGTCAAATTGCAATTTTCAGGAATGCCCCGGAAGAAAATGCAGCCCTTTATTTCCGAAGGGCGGCCATTCAACCCACGCCCAGTTCTTCTTCCTGCGTACCGTAGCGAAAGGTAACCACAAACTTGGAAGTAAGATCAACCGAAGAAACTTGGATCAGTATATGTGGACCCTTAAAAATCACAGCTTGTCATGTTAGTCCCCTATTAGGAGGGAATGCAGCCCTTCACTTTGTCGGTTTCCAGTATTTGTTGATTTTCAGTCCCAAAAACAGGTTTCCACTTACTGTACCTGGAAGTGTGATGTAACTTGTTGTTTGTGCCTTATACCCGGCCAATGCTTTGGATACAACACGCTGGGGGCGCCATGTTTCTGCGTTTCTTTTTCTGTAGGTATAAGGGGCTCTTGCCATGTCAATCCCATAGCGAGAGAGAAGTTTGGGCCTGGATCTGAAATGTTTTTTTTTTTCCCCCCTGAAATTATGATCCTGCCGCCTGCCACCTGCCACATACTTGTTGGCCAACCTTTGTTTATGCCACTCGTATCCCTTAAAACGTCGCGAAGGAAAGTGTCTTATAACCGAACATATCGTTGTGACACTTGCCAAGCAAAGCAGTCATTTGGGGTTATTGTTCTTTTGAAAATGATGTTCTCTTTTGGTTTGTTTCTTAGAGGGAAGCCACGGTGTGCTTAATCATCCAGGCCTTTTGCTCCTCACTGTTTCCCTCATGCATGAAAAAAAACATTTCGTATAAATCTTCGTTAAATCCTGCAGAAAACCACAAGGATTTGCCTTTTAGAGCACAGAAGTTAGTTCCAAAGGATACTGTTGGGGTAGCTAACTTGGAAGCGTTCATCCTTGCAAATAAACCTGGAAGTACCCACCCTGGCAGATAAACATAGCTAAAAAATGTCAGTCCAACTAACGTGGCAGTTGTACCCTCATACAATTCATTGACCCACACAGCTTCCTTGTTTGTTGGCCTGCCAGATTTACCCATACAGATCTTGGATTTCCCCAGGAAAGTGAAGATGAGGTAAACTTCCTCGTTAGGTGTTGTTAGGCAGCGAACGCTTCTACGTTAGCTAGACTAGACAGAGTGTATTTCAGTCGTCGGTTGAAATCTTGGAGGGGGACAATGGAGAGAGAGAGAGAGAGAACGAGAGAGAGAGAGAGAGGTATATATACCGATGGATGGATGGATGGATGGATCGATAGATAGATAGACAGATAGACAGATAGACAGCTAGACAGATAGACAGACAGATAGACAGATAGGCAGACAGATAGACAGATAGGCAGACAGACCGACAGACAGAGAGACAGAGAGACAGAGAGACAGAGAGACAGAGAGACAGAGAGACAGAGAGACAGAGAGACAGAGAGACAGAGAGACAGAGAGACAGAGAGACAGACAGACAGACAGATAGATAGATAGATAGATTGGTAGATAGATATAAAGTGCACCCGCCAAGCAGACGTACTCAGATGTTCTTCTTTGCATTTCACTGGGTTGGTGATTTTTTTGCTAACTTGGAGGTTCAACTTGGATACGGTTGTCATATCGCTTAGCATTAATATTTGCATTTTATTTTGCATTAGGTTCCTGCACAACATTGATGACACCATTTTGATGGTTTCATACCATTGCTACATATTGCTGCCTTATCTCTGTTTTCTTCTATTGTCTCACTAAAAAATGTCGAGTTCCCAGATGTTCCCAGTGTTTTGCCCAATGCATTTTCATAATTTTCATAGATTAACTTCACAGATTTCTCTTCGTATTCAGAAACATTGCTTGATTTGTTTTTTGCTTTCCAATAGTTTGAGGGATAAGGGCCATACTGAGGGCGCAGTCACAAAAATGGATAAAAGGTCCATGAAGATCCATGAAGAAAAAAATATCGCAAACACATCATACTTGTACCTTTCGGCCGTTATAACACATATTTGTTTGGGATACAGTTTTGCAAACAACATTGTGCATCACACACACAAGATGAACATATCAGATTATACATGATTATACAATATTATACACATGTTTTCGAACCTGATATACGTATTTCGTAGTGTTCATCGAGTACCCTTTGATGAAGTCCGTTTCTATCATCATTCTGCACTATTTTTTTTCATGTGTTTCTTCGTCATTTTGCAGTCCTTTGCCTACAGTTGTTATATCATGGTCAAAACCATGTTACAGGATGTAATATGTCCTTTGCATACTCGTATCAGATGTTATCCTAGTCCATGCACTTTTATTAGATGTATTTTCCAGCTTCCCCAGCTGCTACCTTTTGCAGTTGTTGTTTAAGAATGCCGTGCATTTTTTTTTTGGACCTTGATTTCCTATAATATTTTACATACGTAGTATGTGCAACAATACTCTTCAATGGTTCTTGTTGTCAACGAATCATATCCAAAGATGTCACTTTACTCTAATAGTAAGTATAGTTATTTCCGTTTGCTGCTGATGTTCTTAGATATCTTCAGATTGTGCTTACACTATTGTTTTCCTGATATCATCATGGCATCATCAGTGTTAGTGAACTCTTGCAGTTGTGCGAATTGCAATGGATAACCTGTTCGAATGATTGTTTTGTGACGATGCGCTTCAACAACCTTTTCACTTCCATTACACAAGTGTCGGCATTTGCACCTGATTAGGGGTGTTGATAGACACTTTGAGTCTGGGATACCCTATGCCCTATGTATCCCTATGTAAGAAACGATGCGCTCGACTCAATATGAAACCAAGTTGCACAACACATGCACATACGGCCTTCAATCCAGTGCTAAGGTTCTTTCTTGAAATCCTTACTTTCAAGTGCTCTGAAGTCCCACTCAACTTGAAAGCAAATTCCCCCTGAAACAGTTTTGGCCATCCTCAATCCTGTAATTGGGATGCCTGGGGAAAGTCCCGACGTCAAATTACAGTACTCTTTATTTTGCAGTGGATGAACTCGTACATTTTCTCTCAACGTTTATTTATATACTGTATATATAATTTTGAATCCCGTGCTTGGAGGCTTAGAAACTGTTTTTCCTGCGACCTCGTGACTTTAAAATCACTTGCCAGCCCCGCTAGATGAAAGATTTAAGATTGCCAGAAAAGTGTTTTGAGGAATCTTCGATACTATACACGGATTGAAATCTGAAGATTTCCCTAGAAGTCTTTTTTCCCCGCATCTTGGGTCCAGTATGGTCCAGTACTCAGGGTGTTTTTGGCTGCAAGGCTCCACTGCATACATTAACTACAGGATGGACGAATTGAACAAATCATCAGAGGGGATTGAACTTTGACGTGACTAACAGAACTTCCCACAATACAAATTGATAAGTACTGGATTTATGGGTTCCCATCATTTTATCGGGAAATTCTTCAATCAGTGAGACTTTAAAGTGACTTTGAAATCGCTAGATGACCAAAACTCTCAGTCTCAATAAAAATTGAACCTTGCCACACAGGTTACACATGGTTACACATACATGAGGGAAGACACTTTGGCAGTGGCTGCTGCTGTGCAGAGTATGTGGACAGACACAAGACACACACACACATTGACATATGACATACATAGCATGTATGACACGCACAGAAAGAGAGAGAGAGAGATGTATGAATATATATATATATTATATTATATAATATATAGACACACCGGTCAGTGATATCACATGCATCGGATTTTAGACGAAGAGATTGTTCCCACAATGCATTGGCCCGCCTGCTCCAGAAAATTGAGAATCATGGTGAGGCATGACCCTTGCTGGTTGATGTGCCCCTTATTGCTTGCACAAGAATTGCACAACCGCTCACTTTGCCTTTGGAGCAGCCTGACTTACTGTAGTACTGTATTATGTATATATATATACATACACACACATATATATAACCAAATAGGTTTGTGCAGCATGTCCGCTATGGCCGAAAGCGGCCATGACAGGGAAGGATCTTGATAATTTGCCCCAGCTGGATGGCCTACCAGGCCTACCAGGGGAGAGGCAGCCGGTCCTTTGTGCTGTGCTAGACAGCATGGTATTCATTGGAAGCAGTCGTGGACGACCAGCTTCCCCTTTTCTCAGGCGGCGGTGTTAGAAGCCGTCAGGAGTGAGGCAGCTTGGCAAAGATATTGCGACAGCATGTACAGGGACCGCTTGAGACAGTTTGCTACAGATGGCTACAGATGGCTATAGATGGCTACAGGATCGAAGGCTAAAGGGAACTATCGTCCAATGGCCATGTTGATGTATGCCTCGGCGCAGTGGGCTGGGAGTGTGAAACGTGTCCTGCCAAAAGACCAAGGCCAAAAGGCGGTGACGAAGGAGAGCATGATAGCTCCGCCAGTCCTGGTGACTGAAGCAACTGCAACAGACAAATTGATACAACTGCATAGGTACATCCAATGCCATCCAATTACATCCATTTACATTCAAATACTGTATACCTACATGCCTTGCAACTGACAGTGACCAATACCACATATTCGATTTGATGGTTGCTTCTGGCTGTCCCTTGTGGAATCGGCGGTCCATTATCTTGAAATTTTGTCAATGTGAATGTGCAATCTGAATCTCAAGAAAGAACATATTCCACAAATGCCTCACTTCCAAAAGTTGCAAGGATGATAATCCTACTATACTTGAACGATGGTGTGGTACCATAAACAGCTACTAGGCCCATACGCAGGGCACTTGCAGTGAAGTTTCACTCCAGATAGTCAGTGCAGCCTTCTTGCTGTGTTTCGTCTGTGGGCAGATTGGATGCCATTGGGCTCCCGTCCATGTTTCAGCAAAGTGGGTTCTCTTGGAACTCATTCATATATGTATGCACACATACATGCATACAGACAGACAGACAAACATACAGACATACAGACATACAGACATACACACACATGCACACATGCACACATGCACACAGACACACAGACACACATACATACATACATGCATACATACATACATACAAACATACATACATACATACATACATACATGCATGCATGCATGCATGCATGCATGCACGCATACAAGCATACAAGCATACATCCATACATCCATACATCCATACATCCATACACGCATACACGCATACAAGCATAAAAAGCATACAAGCATACAAGCATACATCCATACATCCATACATATGTACAGACATACATACATACATACATACATGCATGCATACATACATACATACAGTCATACATACATACATACATGCATGCATGCATGCATACATGCATACATACATACATACACCCATCCATGCATACATACACCCATCCATGCATACATACAAACATACAGACATGCAGACACACACACACACATACACTAGACAAGAATGGATCATTATATGATCCGTCAGGAACTGAATCCTGAAACATGCAAACCAGCCTAGATTATCAGTGCAGCAAATTGTATAATATTGTTGTTGGGGTTCTAAGCTTGGCCCCTTGCTATGTCGGAGAAAGCAGGTACGTGGAGTTGATCAGACTCCATATCCTAGTCAACTGCATGGAGCTTCGTTGGCGACAGCCATGCAGCGACCCTGTCGCCCCCTGCATTAAATTAATTTAGATTTAGAAAGGGAGAGGACAAAGGAAGAAAAAGAGAGAGAAGAAGTTTTACATCTATTCAGATGTTACACACACACACCCGGCCGGAGCCGGGTCAACCCTGAAAGGCAAGAGGAAGAAAAAAGCGGACACACGACGGGCAAACGGCCAAAAACAGCGCAGGGGGGGGAGGGGAACAGACGGACCTCCGGAACCAACCTACACGGCGAAACGGACCTAACAAAAACAGCGCACACACCAAAACCCCACGACACATTACGGAGAGGCACGCGGGGAGAATTAGGGACCAAATGGGGGACTAGTTGATGACCGACAGGAAAACCAAAACAATTAATTATAAACAGGATTCAGTCCCTAAATGCCTAAAAAGTCGTGCGATTATTCCCTGCACCGGGACCGTGGTCAAGTCGTGCCGCAATGGCATAAAACAGCTTCCAAGTTTCAACGAATTAGATGCACAATATGTTTCACCTCACCAAAAACCAAAGAGACCACACCTGCAGGACAAGGACATGCCTGTTGCCTTTTTTCGTGAATGTCATGTTGAACTTCAAATGCGCAAGCTGCAGTGATAAAAAGGAAGTTTCTGGTAGTTCGAAGCAGCTTCACTTGAAAGATCAGATCACTGGGGACCCTGGGACAGCCGGAGCAGCAGGAAATCTCAAAATGGCTGATAAACCGCAAGGCTGATTGTTGCCCTTTACTTAAACGAATTACTAAGTTAAAATGTGTGAATTCAGAATTCAAGTCTGTCAACACTCACCCTGAAAAGGGTTGCCTCCAATGGCTCCATGGCACCATGTCGGAGCCACCATGGAAATCACACTAGACAAGAATGGATCATTATATGATCCGTCAGGAACTGAATCCTGAAACATGCAAACCAGCCTAGATTATCAGTGCAGCAAATTGTATAATATTGTTGTTGGGGTTCTAAGCTTGGCCCCTTGCTATGTCGGAGAAAGCAGGTACGTGGAGTTGATCAGACTCCATATCCTAGTCAACTGCATGGAGCTTCGTTGGCGACAGCCATGCAGCGACCCTGTCGCCCCCTGCATTAAATTAATTTAGATTTAGAAAGGGAGAGGACAAAGGAAGAAAAAGAGAGAGAAGAAGTTTTACATCTATTCAGATGTTACACACACACATACATACATACATACATACAGACAGACAGACAGACAGACAGACAGACAGACATACATACATACATACATACAGAGAGAGAGAGAGAGACAGAGACAGAGAGAGAGACAGAGAGAGAGACAGAGACAGAGAGAGAGACAGAGACAGAGAGAGAGAGACAGAGACAGAGAGAGAGAGACAGAGAGAGAGAGACAGAGACAGAGAGAGAGACAGAGAGAGAGAGAGACAGAGAGAGAGACAGAGAGAGAGAGAGGCAGAGAGAGAGAGAGAGAGACAGAGAGATACAGAGAGACACAGAGAGAGAGAGAGAGGCAGAGAGAGAGAGAGAGAGAGAGACAGAGAGACACAGAGAGACACAGAGAGACACAGAGAGACACAGAGAGACACAGAGAGACACAGAGAGACACAGAGAGACACAGAGAGACACAGAGAGACATAGAGAGACACAGACAGACAGACACAGACAGACAGACACAGACAGACACAGACAGACACAGACAGACACAGACAGACACAGACAGACACAGACAGACACAGACAGACACAGACAGACACAGACAGACACAGACAGACACGGAGACACAGAGAGACACAGAGAGACACAGAGAGACACAGAGAGACACAGAGAGACACAGAGAGACACAGAGAGACACAGAGAGACACAGAGAGACACAGAGAGACACAGAGAGACAGACACAGAGACACAGACAGACACAGACAGACACGGAGACACAGACAGAGACAGAGAGACAGACAGAGACAGACAGAGACACAGACATCTATACATCCATACATCCAGAATCCTTACATCCATAATCCTTACATCCATGCATCCATGCATCCATGCATGCGTACATGCGTGCATGCATAGATACGTAGATGGGATAGATGCAAAGAGGCATAGAAGCATAGAGGCATAGAGGCATAGATGCATAGATGCATAGATGCATAGACGCATAGTCGCATAGACGCATAGACGCATAGACGCACAGATGCATAGATGCATAGATGCATAGAGGCATAGAGGCATAGAGGCATAGAGGCATAGAGGCATAGATGCATAGATGCATAGATGCAGGCATGCATCCATACAGACATACAGACATACAGACACAAAGGCACAAAGTCACACAGTCACACAGACATACAGACATACAGACATACATGCATACATGCATACATGCATACATGCATACATGCATACATGCATACATGCATACATGGATACATGCATACATGCATACACGCATACACGCATACACGCATACATGCATACATGCATACATGCATACATGCATACATGCATACATGCATACATGCATACATGGATACATGCATACATGCATACACGCATACACGCATACACGCATACATGCATACATGCATACATGCATACATGCATACATGCATACATGCATACATGCATACATACATACATACATACATACATACATGTCTAAATGTATACATGTATACATGTATACTGCATATATGTATTTATGCAATTCAGCTACTTGTTTCCAGCTTCCGCCTCAAAATGCATTAATTATATTCTCTTGTGGCACCATCTTTCACAGATGCAGGCAGTTGCAGAATACCAGCGAAAAAGAGAAAATCATATCCTGCAGCATTCTGCTAAGCAGATCCTGCAGCTATACCAAAGACCATCGAACAGTTTGTAATTGGTGTCTTGCCGTTTGCCTTCAGTGCGATCAGCACTGCATAGGTCGTCAAGAGTTAATGAAATTCGCAAACTATTTTTTGTCTTGGAGCCTCAAAAGGGAAGGCAGGACACAGTTTCCAGTTTTAAAAGGCATGATTCCATGTGCCTCATGTGAATACTTGTCTTCAGCCAGCTTCTCACTGCAGAATGTACAGGACTTGTGCAGTAAGGGGCTATTTGGCCACGAGGAATCAAAAGACTCACCCGCATCGAACAGTTCATGTCTCATGCCAGTGGGGAATCCTGTATTTTCTTCTGGCTGGGTCCCAGACAAAAGTCATCACTGCAAAATGGGAGACATTTGAAGGTACAGATTGGTACAGTCCATTGTGTTTCATTTGAATTCATTTGATTTCTGGTACAGGTATATGCGACCAAAAGAGCGTTTGGAGATCGGCGACTTCTGGGTCGTAAAATTGGAAGAGGCAAGAGCAGAGACCAAGCTGTTTAGTACACACAAACGAATGTCAGTTGAAAAAATGTCTGCGGGGGGTGCAATTTGAATCAATTCGTGCTTTTACGAATGAACTATGATGTGACAAGATATTCCTCCTGTCCTCATGTTCACATTGAAGCATTGAACCTGTTCACATTTTGGTCACTTTGCTGCATGTTCGAAAGGCATAGATGGACATAGTGTGACCAGTCCTAGAACATTAGAACATGCCCCAGTCGCAGGTGTCTTATGTGTGCTCCGAAAGATTGTCCAGGATAGAAGTTGATGCATGTTGACCCAGACAGCATATGTCACGTCCTGGTCCATTTGCAACTGCGAGGCATCGCCGCTTGCTGGGCACTCGATCTTTTTGTGAGCATTTGCCACTACAGATCAGCTCCATTTGAAACTGCATTGAGGAAGTTAAACCGGAAAGAGGAGGCTCGCCCCCGCACGTGCTCCCTCGTGTCAACATCAGACCGATTCGTCAACAGAGCTATGGCATCGATCATGGCACTAGTAGTGGGATTCGTGATGATTCGTGATGATTCGCGATGATTCGGCCCACTTTTCCCATATTCTTCCTGGTGAAGTACTCAGCCATCTTCAGCCTCGTGCAAGTGCCAGCTTCATTGCCTCACAAATCCCCACAGATCTCCATGATTCTCCCCAGGCCCAGGTGACGAGTTAAAGTCTTTCACGGTCCCTACGAAGCATCAGGAGCATCTCGGCTTCAAACAGTGCCAATCTGTGCCTCTTGTTGAGTCAAATGGGTCAAATGAGTCAAGGGATCTGAGAGTGCTGAGAGTGCTGAGCCGATTTGCACCGCATGTCAGGTCTCCAAGCCTGGGCCTGGGCCCCATACCATTTCTTATTTTTTTTCTTTGGTTGAACAGCAGCAGAGAGCGATGATTGGATCTGCTTGAAGACTTCAAGAATCTTCGAGATGTGTTTTTGCCTTTGAACCGTGCAAGTGGTATTTCAAGGTGGCAATGTGAATGTCAGAAACAGATAGGAACAGGGCATAAACAACCAACTATTTGCTGCGGGCAAACACGACGAGCTTGCTTATGCAGATGAACAGACGGATGAATATATTCTGATGAAATATGTTGCAAGATGAAGGGCTCAAATCAAGCGTCTGAAGGGGCATTGCGGCAGGCGACGGATGTCCACGGCAGTTTTTGAATGTTTTTGACACATGGCATGTTCTGTCTTCGCGGTCAATGGGCCTTGAAACAGACTCTTCATTTCGATTCATTTTTATGCTCGCAAGTCTTGCATCACCCACTCCCGTTCAGAAGCTTTCAGTATCCCAGTGGAGGCGGCCACAACATGTGAGACACCGCGAAGAGATGAAGTTACTTGGCAGATCTTGGTAGCCACTCCGAATCAAGATGTTGAGATGCTGAGTAGTGGTGCCCAAATCAAGAAACTACCAAAGTGAAAAAACACATAGATCCGTCAGCTTGAACCAATGGACCACAACGTCGATCAACGTCCTACGGTGATGCATTAATATGATATTAACACACACACACATATATATATATTTATTTATAATTATATATATAAGTAATATTGTGAAGCCAATTTTCTGAGAAGTTTGTGCAGCGAGGTCTTGGAGGATGATGTCTCAACAAATTTGCCTTTGCCAGACTCTGGGAGTCCCTCCTCTTGAGATCATGACATTGTGACACGAGCTTGACGTTGATGCAGCACAAAGGCCGTAATATGTTAGATAATGTTACATAATGTCAATAATGTTACATAATGTTACAATGTGTATACATGTGTCACATATTGAATCATGCTGATGTGATATGTTTGGACGATGTGAAGCGGTATGTCTTTACGTTCTTTGGATTTTTGCTCCGTCTTCATGCGCTGGACAACGTTAGTTGTTTGCAGAAGAGCACGAAAGGACCATGCAGCATGATATGAGGCCGACGCTATCTTGATTGTCAGGAAGAGTTTCGGTATCCTGGCCTCACCTTCTTTTAATGTTCTTCCCGTAGTTTTCTAAAGTATTGCCTGCTGTAGTCCTAAGCTGTGTGCTTTCCAACGGCCCTTTTGAAACAGGTTAGCTGCAAGTCTGTGAGCATCAATTTGCACATGCGGTCGCATTCTGGCCGATTAGGCAGTTGAAGATAGAGCGCATCTGCCGTTACATGAACGTGCCAGTGGAAGAAGCTGGCATCATTCCGGACCGCCCTGGCCAAAATGTTCTGCTAACACTGCTGAGTATTTACGTTTATTGTGTGTCTTCTCTTGCAACATGATGATAAACAATGAATGTTTAGTGACTTGAGGCTCTTGTGACCGCAACTCCTCAGGAGTTAGCGCACTATCTTAAATGCAAAGGTGGAAAAGTGGGAGAAGGGCTACTTGTCATGAAAAATTGGAGCACTTTTTACAGAAACGCAACTGATGGAACTTGGCATCACTTGGCCTTCTTTTCCAAGGCGTGCCCACAGGAATTGGATCGACACAAAATGCGGCAGGTTTGTTTCCAACACAGCACTTTGGTTGAATGCACCTAAGCAGCATTATATAAGCAGCAGATGAGCAAGCGGCACCCGAAATGTTCGCCAGAGGTGCCACATGGGTGCCGCAGTCTGAATCCCAGGTGGCGTTGTTCATTGTAGTTGCGAACCTTCACGAAGCTGACTGGCAAAGTCTCCAGATCGATCCTGTTCTGCAAGGATGCACCTTGTATTAACATTATTAACTTATACACCGTTTTAGAAAGTGTGTTCGGATTGTTCGGCAAGGAAACCTGATAAACTCACAGCAGCTTACAGCATCTTACAGCATCATATGGACATACTGTGTGATTTGACTACAGACGTGACCTTGTGCAGCAGTGGATTCTACACTTGTCTGAGGCTATTGTGGTGGCCAGCTGCTCCTGCTAGCTTTCTTCTCTTACGAGCTGTGGCAGCGGCTCAAGTCTGCTGATGAGGGCATTGATGCATTCATGAAGACTGGCTGGAATTGTGGCACACTCGCATTGAGAAGTGTGCAACAAATGGGCCATGGAATGGCACTGAATATTTGTTCAGATTTATTGAGGTGTACTTAGTGTACGTGTATCCAATCAATTGCATGGTGTAGATGCAGAAACGAGGAAGGAAGATAATATATAGCACCATGCATGTATACATAATTTTCAACAAAGGCGCGCCCTTCGTGTTTGACGAAGAGCAGAAATCTGACGTGCACTGTAGACGTATGAGCGACATTACCCATGGATACAAATGGCACGCATTGGCACGCTGTCACGCATCCCTTTGCAGTAGACACTGCGGCTTGCGCCACTACTGCTCGGGATTCCTGAAACAAGGCTTGTAGATTAGTCACGTTGACCTGAATAAGGCTACGATGCGTTCCTCATTGCACTGGGCTTTGTGGATGCTTGTGTGTTGCCCTTAATATACCTGTGTTGCAGCAGTCCGGCCTTGCAACAATTTGCAGCTCCCTATTATAGGTTTCAAGTTTCAAGTGCAAGAACTTTCGCTTGCCAGCTCAGGTGCTCAATTTCATACCCGTGGCGCAAGTTCAAGCAGTACACAACATGGCCGCTTGATAAGAGTAGTCGAGGCTGCTGTGTGGCGATCCTCACTGCTTGTACAGTGAACTCTGTTACACAGAACATTATAATAAGCTTTCCATGCCAATGCCTGGTCCATCCTGGTCCAATTTGTTTGTTTCTTCTTCAAGAGTAAGATCAAGATCTTCAGACTGTTGCTGCTTCCAATGTCATTTGCTAGCGCCTTGACTCACCCATAGTTGGGTCATGTTGGGTCCAGGTCTTGCTTCTGGCACCTGCTCTTCAAATCCTCAGACTTGGGCGAGTAGTTGGGGGCTGAGGCGGTGAGGCATGGAAAGAATATCTCAGTCCACTCTTGGGGCGGTGAAACGGTCAAACTGACTTGAGCCATCTTGGGAATCTTGGGCCGTGTCAGTGTAGGGTTGCAAATCCTGCATTTGAATTCAAACATAAATGAATTGATCGGTGATGCTACGCTGAAGGTGACGGAGCTTCGCTTGATCATCTTGGGCATTGTGCTGCTTGTTTGCAGAATGTACTGTATGAAGCCAGTCAGAAGCGTATGGCCTGGATGATGCACACATGCAAATTACCTTCCGGAAATTCCGGCGCGTGTTCTTCAGCAGAATGATGAGATTGTTTGTTCAAGTCTGTTCCAAGGAAAGCCATGCGTGCCGTCTTTTGGGCAATGGTGCTTCTCACTCTCGTCACATGGCGTTTTCCATGGCATGATTTGACATGCTTTGAGCCCTGCCACCAGTGGACTCCTGTCAGGTCATCTATTTCTTTGCCGTCTTCACGGTTCACTATGTGGGCGAAATGTTCAGAAATGATGTGTTGACATCGAACTTGTCCAGCAGTATGGGGGAGGCCATGTTTACATTGCCAGAGGCCCAGTTCCCACGCTGCATTTGAGCTGGGAAGGTGTGACTATCTGCACAGTACCGTCAGTACCAAATGGAGCAACGATACCTGGTTTCTATTTTGTTGGGCCATCTGAGGTTTTCTTTTGCGACACTGGAAGACTACACTACAACGGTTCGTCACTTCATGCGGAGCGGCATGTCTGGGGTGCTTGTTGCAGTCTGCACCTGATCTGAATGGTCCAAGATACCGAGAACACAGGTAAAGGAAGCACATTCACTCACAGAATTACAAACAGGCACTATCGATGCACTATCTAGCTTTTTGATTTTTGATGATTTTGGATCCTTTTTAATTAAATAAAAAAACATGAGGGACCTTGCGCAGGAAGTCTATCATGCACTGCGATGCAAAGGGTGCTTCGTTTATGCTTGCTCGTAGTTGCCACCATGTGCTACCCTGCATCTGCCAGTGTGCCTTACGCACTGGTACTTATTCTTAGGCATTGTTGGCTTCATTCTTTTTGCGAACTTGGCCTTGTTGAACTTGCTGACCGCCATCATGGTGGAGGCAGTTGTGGACATATTGCCGCTCTTCTTAGAGGAAAGTCTCTGGAACCAATGAAGGATTTGAATCTGTCCTGAGCATTCTCTATGTGACCCTGTCATTTCTTTCTATTTATTGCAATTCTTTCTGGCAGCACTTCAGCACATCTGTGTGAATTCTAAGGCCAAAGAAAAGCACCTTGATGGCAATTTCACAGTGTTTGATGCCATAGCTTCGCATGCCTTTAGTGGCTTTTAGACTGAAGCCGTGAGATTGTTCAACTACACGCGGTGCAAGCCAGGGTCTGAAGTGCTGAACCGAGAGACGGCTGCACGCGTGAAGAAGTTGAAAGAACTCTTCCACAAGATGGACAGCGGCTTAAACTTCGCATGAGAAATAATGAGAATATGCAGAACCAGCATGAATCATCTTGCATCAATTTTTTGATGGCTCATGGCTCAATCAATGATTTTAAAGACATATTTGATGCTTTGACTTGTATGAACTTGTATGTTGGCCGCCTATGGCCGCTTCAACTCCTGAAAAAGTTTGTGTTTCGACCCAGCCAGGAAGAGCATGGCAGCAAGAGAGTGAGCTGCGATGAATTCCAGAAGAATGTAGACCAGCACGTGAAGGATGAGTTGGGCAAGTTGCAGTTCCCTGGCTGATAATGCGCTTAAAAACACGAGCCCGAAAGATCTTCAAAGCGAATCCTGCGATCCATAAACCTATTTTCCCTTTGCTGTTCGATGATTTTCCGAGGATTGCAAACTCTGATCTGAACGAACTTTTCAAACTGATCGACTTCACCGGCGCTGGACTCTTGTCGTGATGTAGCAAGGCAGATGCAGGTTTTGAAATTGCTCCATTTCTTCCGGCTTTGGATGGGCTCCTTTCCGCACTGGCCTAGCCTGCATTCTTATTCTCAGTCTGAAACGCACTATTGGGCATGTTGGGCCATGTTTTGCCATTCTTTGTGTCGCTCATTTCCACACTTTGCCGTGAATCAAGGTGCTCTCTCACAGGCGGAGTTCATAGATGGACTCATGCGTATGACCCCTGCTCCTGCAAGCAAAAGGGAGCTCCTGGAAGTCCAGCATGACCTCCACAGGATGTGGACTCTTGGCATCTCTATCTCTTGGCCTTGCGGCGTGACTAGGCCATTTTGACATTTCCACATTTCTTGGATTCAGATCAGGCCACCCGATCCGTCATGGTCCCTTGCTTTCCATGCACAGGGATCATGCTGCCACTCAGGAACATGCTTTCAGTTGGGCAAGAGCGCCTTCAGGACTGCATCTTTGCTCTTTGAAGCTCTGAACTTTGACTTTACGATCGATCTGCCACTGCCACAAACAAGAAGCCAGGAGCAGCTTACCAGCTTTATGAAAGACTTGCCTGTGCGGCTGTTACCAATTGTTGAGGAGGTAGGTGTGAGACTTTTTTGCTTCTGGTGTGTAGCATGAAGACCTCAATCGCCCCTCGTACTTCCACTATCTTCCACTACTTAGATTGAAAGTGAGCGACATTTGGCCAACATTTGTAGTGTCTTGGCACTTGCGTAGGACCTTTCGGGTTGCGTTGTCCAATGAGTTTTCTCTGCGCAGGTCCGGGAGATGCGGGATACGTACAAGACATCTTTGGTGGAGCGGGACAAGCTGGCCCAGTTTCTGGGCTCAA